CCCTGTCTTAAAATAAAAAGGGCTGGGGATATAGCTCAGTGGTAGAATGCCCCAGGGGCCAATATTTTCCTTTTGTGAATGGGGAAAAGTGAACAAAGTTTGCTTTTTGTTGTTCCTATTTTAGAGGAAAAAATTTCAATTTTCACTGTTGATTTCAGCTGTGGGCTTTTTATATGTGGCCTTTATCATGTCCAGGGATTTTTCTTGTATTCCCAATTTATTGTTTGCATCATGAAAGGCTGGACTTTGTGAAATGTTTTCTGCAGCTATTGAGATGGTTATGTGGTTCCCCACTTCCTGTTCAGGTAGTGTGGTATATCATAGGATTGATTTTCATGTGCTGAAACATTTTTGTTTTCCAGAAATAAATCCCACTGTCATGGTATATACCATGGGTGCTAGTCTGTTTTCTATATTGTCTTGGGTATCAGGTTAAAGTTACTTAAGCTTTGTCCCCTTTACTACCCCTCCTTCACTCCTCTCGTTCAATAATTTCAAATGACATGTCTTCAGTTTACTGTGTCTTCTCCTTGACCAAGTCTATTGCTGAACTCTTGTTGCTTTTCAATTCTGTTACTGTATTCTTCATTTCTAAAACGTTTGGTTCCTTTTTATAGTTTCTATTTGCTGATATATTCATTTTGTTCATGCATGCACTGTTTGCAAATTTCATTTATTTGTGTACTTTAGCTCATTAAGCATCTTTAACATGGTTATTTTGAATTCCTTGTCAGATAATACACAGATCTCCATTTCTTTAGGGTTGGCTTCTGGAGATTTATTTTGCTCCTTGGTTGAGCCATGTTTTTCTATTTTATGTATGCCTTGTGCTCTTTTGCTGAGATCTGGGCTTGTGAAAAAACTGCCACCACTTAATAAATGCTGTTATGAATCGGAAAACAAACAAACAAACAAACAAAAAAACCCAACCCTGCCACTTCTCCCAGTCTTTACAGATTAGGGTGATATCTTCACAGCTAGTCCAGCTAGATTTTTAGGGCCTCTCAAACGTTTTCTAGAACTGTATCTGTAAGAGTTCTGTGGGAATATATAGGATAGAGTTTCTCTGGTAAGCAAACTCCTGGAGAATAGACATCTTGTTTCCCACAGCTGGAACATTTTGCAGTGTTCCCCAGGAACTCTTAAGATAACCAATGCATGCTTGGCAGGAGCACATATCATAAGCAAAACATCTTACATTATGACCTAATGTAAGCTAATGGTATAAATAAAGCTGACAGTTAAGATGAGCAGCCATTTTTGCCTCTGCACCTTGCTTTTGTCTCCTTTTGATTTCTTTACTGAACCCTCTAGACTTGAGTGTGTAAATTTCCAGATTTGCCATTTTAAGTCATATCTTGCTCCCCCCCCTGGTGTCTGTCTGTGGTCCTGCAGTCTCTCTGGTGCTGCAACATGACTGCAGCGGATACCCCAGGCAACCAAAATGGCACACTGTTCCTGTCAGAGCTGCCAAGCCACACTGTCCCAAGTCAGTCCTTTGGGCAGACTCACAATAAACCAGAACATTGTTCATACATGCTACTTTACCCTTTCCCTCCTGAAAGGGAAAACCTCTTGACCAGTTTCTAGAATTCTCAAAGGCAATTTGGTCCGTCTATCTTGAAGTCAGTATCTCCATGGGAGAATCAGTCTGGGGCTTCCTATTCTGCCCTCTTGCTGATGCCACTCTCTACGCACATTGATTTTTGAGTATTCTTATTTCTGCACTATAAGATGCCCCAGGCTCATCTTGTATATATCCCAACTCCAGCTTCAGGATCAACCAAGCACTCTGTTTCCTTTAATTGGAGAATGGTATTAGCAATAGCTCTCTGAAAGTACATGGGAGATAATAACCTATGAGATCTAACCCATGTCTGAAAGGCATTATTCTACCTTTATACTCATTTGCTATTGTGGTGAGGTAGACATTTATCTAACAAACTTTCCCTAAGAATTTGACGGTTCTCTTCTTTCTTTCTATGTTGCTGTTAAGAATACCAAATCGTTACTGAGTATTCTTTTAAATATATCCTGTTTTTTTCTTTCCTTCTTTATGTTCCAAGATTTCAGTTGTAAGCCTTGGAATATATTTTTATGCACAGTGTGCTAGGCACTTGAAGATATCACTCGGTTGCCTTTTACATCTAGTGAAATTTACATTTACGAGTTCCTATCTTTTCTTTGTTCTTTCTGGAGTTCCTGTCATTTGGATCTTGGACCTCCTAGACTGAATAATTTGTTTCTCTTCTCTCCCACCTTCCATCTTTAATCATTCCAGCATTTAGAAAATTTTCTTAATATCACTTTCCAATGATTCCACTAGTTTTTAAATTTCTATTATGTTTTAAGTCAACAGGAGTGTTTTCTCCTCTGAGATTTCCATGTTTTGTATTGTTCTTTTTTAAAATTTTATAGATGTGAACTCTTACCTTTCATATCTAAAAGTTGGCAGGCGGTAGTTCTCATTGCTTTCCATTTGACCTTTCTTCCATGTTAGAGGCTTTCATTATAAAATCTGGTAATTTTGGAGGGAGTCTCATAAATAAATAAGAATTAGGGCTTCTATAGTTTGGACCTTAATGGCATCCAAAGAGCCATGTGATAAAGGCTTAGCTCCCAGCTTGGCACTACTGGGAGGTGGTGGAATGTTAAGAGGTGAGGCCTGGTGGGCAGTCTTCTTGTCATTGGGGGTGGGCCCTTGAAGGGGGACTGTGGGACCCCCAACCTCTTCCTTTTTTGTCTTCCAGGCATGAGGTGACAAAAAAAGGAAAAGGATTTGCTCCACCATGCATTTCCTGCCGTGTTGTGCTGCTTTGCCACAGGCCCAAAAGCAACTGGGCCAACCAAGAAGGGATGGAAACTGACAAAGTTGTGAGCCAAAATGAGCCTTTTCTCCTTATAAGTTGATTACTCAAGTATGTGTTATAATAACAGAAAGCTAACACAGCATCTACAACACTGAAGTAAGACAGTAACTATCAATTTTAAACTTAATTATAGGTTGGTCAGTGAGCCATTGGCTAATCCCTGGTATTAGAATTTTTACAATTTTCTTCTTTTAGTGGGCAGTATATATAAAGCCACATAAATCTTGTTTCCATTGCAGTAGTGTATAAAAAGCAAAGTGGCATTATCTTATGCTAGGAAGGCATGTCTTTGCCCAGGGATTTGGGTCATAATGGATAGTCCTGGGTTAGGGAACAGGGCAGGGGTATAATCACATCAGAAAACTATCAAGGCAGAGGCAGTATCAACTGACCTAGACACTGAGACTAATAGTAAGGATAGTCAATCATGTGTAGTTGATAAAAAAGCCCACAACAACTCTGGATTCTAAAGCTTGGGTGAACTTATTTGGTTGACATTCCCCTGTGCAGAGTCACACACTGATGCCATTCTGGCCCTGGGGATAGAACATACTTGGTTCTTTTCCTAAATTCTGCCCTGAGCATCTCTTTGGTTAATTTTAACTTGGCTCTTCTGCAAGATGTTTCTGTGTTAGAGCCAGTTGACATGGTCCCAAAAGCTCTGAAACAGTGAGCCAAAATAAATTCTCCCCCTTCAGTTATTTGTCAGGTAATTGTTACAACCATGAATATAACTGCTTTCAGTAAGGTCTGAATCCTTCTAGGGAATTATCTAATCTAGGACTGGTTTGGGGAATCTTCCAAACTTGTAAATGCCCTTGTTTTCAACTCACTAATTTCCACCACCCAGGTTCACTTTATGTTAGAGTTTGGCTCTGGAATGTCTCCTAAGGTCTCAAGTGTTGCAAACTTAGACACCAGTGCAGCAATGTTCAGAGGGGGCTTTTGAGAAGTGACTGAACCATGAGGGCTCTTCTGATCTGTCAGTGGATTAATCCATTGATAGGTGAATGGATTATATGGGGGCACTGTTGGAGGAATTAGGTCCCTGGGGGCATGTCTGGAAGGGTACTTCTTATCTCTGGCCCTTCCTCTCTTTCTCCTTTCCAGCTGCTATGAGCGGAGTAGCTTTCCTCCGCTCTGGCACACCCTTCTGTCATGTTTCTGCCACACTGAAACCTCTGAAAATGAGCCATAATAAACTTTTCCTCCTTAAGGTTATGTCAGGTATTTTGGTCAAAGTGATGAAGAGCTGACTAATATACTCTATTACCCTCTCATGCCAACTGTGGGGGTGTACAGAGTTGTCTAGCCACTCTTCCCTATTTTCATGCCTTGCCTTTATCCTTAGTCCTAGAGGAAATTGGTACTGAGGATTCTGAGCTGTAAATACATTTCTTAGTCACTCTGTGGCCTATTTAAAACTGGGTTTTGTTGGGTCTACAAGTTAGTTAATGCCCGTGTATCTGCTTTCCAGTTCCCCAAATTCTGGTAGTTGTTTACTTTCATTTCTCCAACTTTGTGGGTGTGTTTGAGTGCGATTGTTGTAGCAGTCATCAGGATGTGTCATTCAGACTGTCCTTCAAAAAAATCTGATGTGGAAGTGAACTGGCTGGCAGCTTCTGGCTGCTGTACTTTGAGATCCATCAAGGCATTTGTGCCAAGGCAATGATCCCTGTGGGCTACTCCTAGATACTAACTCAGCAAGGCATGGGGCACAAAGGCAGGCCATTTCCACCAAACTCCAAACTCTGATGACAGGAATACTTGCCTGGAGACTCTCCACTGGCCTGACTACATTGTCTCAGAGCTGCACTGCTTTTTTTGTACTCGTCCTCTCTTTTTACAAGAATCAGACCTATGCTGTAGAACAAAGTACCCATGCTTGTTCTCGTTTCCTGTCATCCTTCATTTATGTTTCTTCTAATACACGTTTGTGCATCTAATTTTGTCTTGGTATCTGCTTCTTTAAGGACTCAAACTGTCAACCAAGGGTTTGGGAAGAGGTGATATTAGGTTTATAATTCACTGTCTTAATACAGAAATCACAATTAAGTTTTTGTATGTTTAAAAGATTACAAGTCCAGTTTCATTAAATCATAGGAGAATGAATCACTTCTAACAAACATATCTGAGAGAGATTTTGATTTACTGAAACTTAAAGTAATATATAACATGTTCATTTCTTTAAGAGGTCTCAAATTAGTTTTAAAAGGCCAAAATGATGTACATATAAGTATATATACTGTGCCATTTAAATCACTTCTACTTTCTGTAACTGAAGAACTCAAGTAGAGAAATAAACTATAAACTTTGTGGTGCTGAGGTAATATCATAACCTTTCCCCAACGTGACTGCATAGGTGTTTAAGGTTAAGTGTGAATATTATGTGAGGTCTCAAGTTAATTAATTAATCCCATTTGAATTTTAGGCCCAAAGCGGCCTATCAGACATGCACCTGAAGGAAGTATCTTCAACAGGTCCATGTGTACACAGGTGTAGGTGATGGGTGTAAGTCAGGGAAAGGCTTACTGAACCACACTGATAATTCAACATTAGAAGTCTGCAGTTGTTGGCAACACAGAAACATACACAGTCTTCATATTCAAAGTCTTCATTGGGATGTCTTCTGTGATTTCTAGAATGGAAAGAAAAAATTTCTAGTGTGAGTAAGTAACATATTTTAAAAAATGTTAACTGGCTATGAAATCTGGCCTCATCCTAAGTAAGATCTGACCTTTGTCCCTGCTTCTAAAGTGATCTTCTAAATCCTTGGAATTTACTAATAGGAATGTCTTTGTCACTCATGGTGGCACGTGACCACACACAATAGTTGATGCTAATGAGATGACTCATGGTAGAGTTGGCACACCAGAAAGACTTACTGTAAGATTCAGGGTGGGGACTGAGCCACACAGTATCAGTTGATATAGAAACCAGTCAGCCGTGGGAGCAATGAATCAAATCATGCCTAAATGAAACCTCAATAAAAACTTTCTGACAACAAGGCTCTTGTGAGCTACCCTGGTTGGTAATACTCTGTACTGTCACATTTGAAGGAGGTAACATTGATGCCATTCTGGCCCTGGGGATAGGACAATGGAAATACTTGGTTCTTTTCCTAAATTCTGCCCTGAGCATCTCTTTGGTTAATTTTAACTTGGCTCTTCTGCAAGATGTTTCTGTGTTAGAGCCAGTTGACATGATCCCAAAAGCTCTCCTCTGCATGAGGAGAAGAGGACCTGGAGCCTCTCATTTGAACCCCTGTAAGATTCTACCCATTAATCTCTTTCTTTAGCTGGTTCTAATTTGTATCCTTCAACTATAATAGACAATCCATGGGTGTAATACCTTTCTGAGTCCTTTTGGCAAATTACTGAACCTGAGGGTGATTTGGGATGCCCCCTGCCCCTGGAAGTTGTAGTTGGTGTCAGAAGTGATGATGGTCTTATGTAGATTCTTTGAGTTCACAGTTGAACCTTATCTCCTTGCTGTTGGAATGAGAAGTTTTGGGCAGACTACTGGAAACATGTAAAGGACCATTTCCTCACTTTACAGTGTGACTTACTCTGGGTACTGCCCAAGATGCTTTTTCCCCTCATAAGCATATATTTTACCAATAGAAAAAGTCTAGAAGGAGTGTCAACCCACTAGTCCAGACATGCTTTCTAAAATAAAACTCTCTATAACTGGAAGAATATCTATTCCAGGTATGGGTGAGCAGGGGTACACGACAGGCCTAAGACATGTTGCTACTATAAAGAAAAAAGTCACCAAAGGCTGAAGTGCTCATGTCAAAGAACACACAGGATTCAGTATGGCCAATGATGAAACCTTTGTACATCTAAAAGTATAATAAAGATGCAGTGTATTAAAACATACTAACTATAGGGGGAAAAGAAAGGAAAAAGAAATTTATAAGTTATTTGCCCACTGTGGGACATTTTGTCTCTGAGACAAAATGAGATCTGAATTTAAAAAGGAAAAGAACCAGCTTTCTCAAAAATAGCTGATGTCCTAGCAGACAATTCTGGATGTGAAAAACCCCTCTAAGCTGTCTCCTTAATGGTAATGACAGGATCTGGAGATGTTTAGAGTTTAGGGTTAAACACAAGAAGATGCTGAAGAGTTTCTAAATTATAAGCATTTTGTGGTCTAATTTACTAGGTTATTAATACTTTATGAAAACAATTTTAAAAGGCAAATTATAATGAAAATGAGACTGCAGATACTGGACTGAAAAAGGTACTGCACTGTAAGAAGTCCCAGCTTTGTGATAAGCTTGGGTAAGCCACCCTTATGCTCTTAGCTACTAAACTTTTGCCTAGCTAACCTCAGAGAAAAGGAATGGAGTAAGACAGTATAGGTAAGATTGCTGGTTGTATGAATCACAGTAGTATTATAAATATTTAATTCACAGAGACATGATTCTATCCTTAACCAATTCCAATCATTTAGATTACTTCTACTTTCTATACTTAAGAACTCAAGTACAGAAATAAACTTTGTGGGGATGAGAAGCATGTGGTGATCAATGGATTCAAGGGCTAAGGAAAAGGAGGTAAGAATGTGCTTATCATGATAGGAAGTTACATGTCCTACAGATGATTCTTACCACCACACCACAGTGAAAGAACCATGTGTGTAGGAGGGAAAGTAAAACCAGTCTCCTGATAGGGGGAAAGACTCAAAGACATAACTGGAAAGTCAGACAAGGCCCAGAACATGAAGGATCTTGTGTGCCAAGCTGAAATTCTTGAAGTATTAAGCAATGGGGACCTTGGGGACTCTGAGTGGGGAACAGCATCATGGCAGGAATGTTCATGAAGACAATTTTGACGGAAGAATAGACTGCAGACAGGTGATTTCAATGGATGATAACACCCTAAACAAGGTGAAAGGATAAAAAACAAGGGAAAGTCACTGAAAGTAAATCTAAGGTAGAGTTGGCTGTTTTTCATTAAAGGGAGGGAGAGAGGAACTCAAGAGAAAATAAGGATTTGTACTTTATTAAAGATTTTTTGGTGGTTTCTAATGGCTTAATGCTTTTTGTACTAAAGTCTGTGAAAGAGAAATCAGAAAAATCTCTTGGTCTACACAAACTAGGAAGTCTAAAACAGCCCTCCTCAAGAAACTGGGACTTCAAAAAGGAACAGATAGCAAACGGATAAATATGAATAAGATCTATCACCAAAGGTGGGAGGGGAGAATGCACTGTTTAATAATAGCCTCCCCAACTACTTATCCATATTCTAACTTCCCAGAAGCTGTGAATGTAACCTTTTGTAAAAAGAGGAAGTAGAAGGGAAGGAAGCAACGTGACCAGGGAGTGATGGGGCTGCAAGGAAAGGATTCTTTCCTCAGCCTTAGGAGAGTGTAGCTTCACTGATATCTTGATTTCAGGCTTCAGAACCGTGAAAAAAATAAATTTCTGTTGTCTTAAGCCACCCAGTGAGTGGCAGGCAGTTCACTGTGATGGCCCCAGGAAACCAGAACAGAAAGCAGGAGTCATTCAGCCCTACAGGGACATGTAGACTCTCTCCAGGAATTTCTGGCCTTGGGCATGATGGACTCAACTTTCTAAATACTCTCTGTGGCCCAAACAACTGAGCTGAAAGACAGTGTGGGTGAACAGTGTCTCCAAGGAACTAGAGAAGTGTTCCTTAATTTTAAGTGATCCTTAAAATTGGGCTTCAATAGAAACAGTATAGAATAAGCAAAACAAATCAGTGACATAGACAGAAAGATGGAAATTAATAAAGAATGTTTAAAAAGGAGATGCTAGAAATCAAATCAGCACTATAATAGAAACAATGACTTCTATCAAAAATCTAAACACTTAGGCATATCTTAGTAGAACTGCAGAAAATCAAAGACAATGGTAAAAATCTTGAAAGAATCCACAAGAAAAAACACCTTATTACGGAGAAGCAAGAATAAAATCAGCCAAAATAAACTGGACTACGGCATACAAGGATGAAGAGAGGGAAAATACAAACACATAGGAGAGAGGCAGGGTGGTGTGTCTTGAAAATGTCTCATCAAAGTTCAAGGAAGAGATGATTACTAGAGAACGGATAAGAGATTACTTTGGAACACACAATGCCTGGCAACTTTGCACAAGTGCTAAAAGACATAAACCCTGATTGAAAAGCCCCTCAGTCCTGCCTTATGCTTTGTAAGCAAAAGGATGGAAGGGCAGGAGATTTTGAGTTGGGATTGTGAGAAGGATGGCCATGAACAGATCCCAGGAAGGGAAGTTATTTGGGAAATGACTCCAGAGGCACCAAAAGTGAAGTGCTGGGTGAATAAGCAGGATTCCACGACAAAACTCCAGGGAAGGCTATGATGTCAACAGAGAAGTTGACAAAAGTGCCACCAAAACTGAAATCACAAAAGAGGTGATATGAAGGGGGAAAACGAGGGGAGAAAACATGTTGCTGCTAGACATCAGCTTGTGGAAGTCGCTGTCCTGATTTTGTTTTCTGAATTAATGGATGTCACCAACTGACCTAGCTCTTCATGTTATATGGCCCAGTAACAAAATGGGAGTAAGCTTCATAAGTTGAAAAGGGAGGTAACCGATGGTAATGTCAGTTATAAGTTTCCTTTAGGCTAGTATCTTACAATGTGATAATTTTGATTCTTGAGGAAAAGAATAAATTTTAGGTCAGCAAATATGCTCATTTACCTAGAAGCCCTATATTTGTAAATTATTTTCAAAGCAAAAAGTAATTACCCTTTCAATTATTATTTCTAAAAAATTATACTGTAGTTAGTTTCTAAAGAAATAGTGCAAAAAAAAAAAAAAAAAAAAAAAAGTACCATCTCTTATACCCATAATCTATAAATGGTTCATGGCATTAATAGCAACTTTCAATGAAGAAAAAAATTCATGGTCCATAATCCCCTTACCTTGTGTTTGAGTCTCATTCAGAAACAATTTTAGCTTCCTGCTTCGCAGGCCAAACACCTTGGCTGCCTCATACAGGAGACCTTGGTGGGTGAGTCCATTCTGCCCAAGTGGGTTTTCAAGCAGGAGGGTGCCCACTGTTCCCATTAAACACTCTGCAGAAGGAAAACAACCTGGATTAATGCCTGAGAGCTCACCTTCTAACACAGGCAGTGACTATGGACAGCTCTAATGGGTGGCACTGTTGGCTCCGAGGGCATCTAATAGCTAGACATACGGTCTGTAGAAACAGTCCTAGACAGTCTCCAAAGGTGAAGGAGACAAGGGAAAGAAAAATGGACTTATATAAAAGCCAACAGCTTGGGGAAGGACAGTTAGTAATACATAGTCAAGTGAAAAACCAAAAGACTTCCACAAAAATGCATATAATGACTGGGGCCAGGGCTGTGGCTCAGTGGTAGAGTATTTGCTTAGCACAAGTCAGACACTGGGTTTGATCCCTGGCATCACATTAAAAAAAAAAAAAAGAAAGAAAGAAAGAAAGAAAAAGGTATTGTGTCCACCTACAACTAAAACAACAACAACAAAAAATGCATACAACGAGGATCCTAGCATACCAGTACTGTGGGCCAGACTCCACGTGTCTTGGCCAAACAAACTCCATTTTACACCAAGGCTCCATTTTCTATAAGAAGAGCCCCCCCCGCCCCCACCAAAGCCCACACCCATGTCTCCCATATTCTTCTTCTCATGCTTAGTACATCCTGTTTGGCAGCATATAATGTAAAAGAAAAAGGAAAAAATGTTTCTCAAGATATTATCTTTCATTCCTATGCAATGTACCCTGACTTAGGTTATTCTGACCTACTCTGCTTGGGTTTGGGGCTATAAATGACATGTGTGAATCCTGGTGGGGAGTCAAAGTGTGCAGAAGCAAATTAATCACCACCATTTGGTGGCCAGCAAATGAAGTTCCTCGTCCTGTTTCAGGACTAACCCGGTGATTTATTTCAAATGTGCCACGACACTAAGCTAAAATAGGTATCAATCTATAGATTCTTGATTAAGGCATGGAGGCATACAAGTTTTCAGAACATTTACCAAGGGAAAAAAGGGTAAAATAAAAATAAACAACAACAATGACAACGAAAATGATAAAAGAAAAAATTTTAAAAATTATAAAATGAAACATTCTGGGATTTAAACAATTGTTTCATTATTTGTCATTTTTACCTAATCTATTTATGTAGTTTCCTGACCACACCAGATAGATAAAGGCTTTCTCCATAAACACACTTTGAAAAGAAAAAAAACCTGTGGTGCTCTCCAAATAGCTGGGGAGTCTACACTTTAAAATCACTGTTATGTGTTCACAAATACACGAGTCATAGATTTGAGCCTTAAGGGAATCTTAATACCCAACACCCCACAGCCTGCCTGCCCCAGGAGACACATACCTTGTGGCTCTGCGTTCAGGAGCTGCAGGTTGATATATTCACAGAGAAGAGTACTAGGGCTGTTGACAGGAGAGGGAACTGATCCCGCAGTCACACAAAGTGTTTTTCCACTAAGACTCATCAAGTCAGTTTGGTTTTGTATTTCTAAAAATATAAAAACTCTGAAGTCATTCACCTTTTCCTACTTCACTATTAAATTTCCTACTTCACTATTAAATTATCATGCTGTCTTTTTACAGTGATGCTTTCCACTGACATCCAAAGAGTAGAAAATCTTTTTTTTTTTTGTACTGGAAATTGAACTGAGGCAAGCATTCTACTACCGAGCTACATCCCAGCCCCCAAAACAGTAGAAATACTTAATATTGAAAAATAAATGTAATAATAATATAATTTAAAACAAAAAGCAATTTTTCACTGTTATAATGTGGCTCCTCTTAATTTCCAACTTCACCATGAAAAGCTTACATTTGAAAAATGATAATTATAATCAGCAAAAAAGCTGTAATTTTTAAAAACTGTATCATAGCATGTAGACTCAAGAAAAGCACCAGGGTTTGGTAGAGTCAAAGCACATTCTCTTTCCACATACCTGTTTCACCATGGAAGATAGACAGCTCTGTATTTTTAACACCAAAAATGCTAGTAACAACATTCTTCAGCTTTAAAAGGTCCAACCTATTGTCCCCTTTTGGATTTTCTAGAAGCAAAACTCCACCTAAAAATCCACAAAAATAAGATCTTTAAAAAAGTAAGACTTAAAAACAAATGTTTTACTTAGAGGAAAAGACAAGGTATACAAGGGGGTTTAAAGCCCTAATATTTTATTTTTTCTTTTTCTGAAGTATATACTACTTCTATCTACTTAGTACAAGTTCTGGCAATCCTCAAGTAGATATGATTAAGCATGAGACTTTATAGTTCTCATCTTTTTCTAGATTCAAATCTTTGTATTTATAACCCCCATTTTTCATTTGTTGCCATTTGTAAACGCACAAGGTACAGAGTGGTTAAAAATACGATCTGATCATTATCTAAAAAATACCCTTCAGTGGCCCTGATGTTGATGTATCCTAGACCTAGATTCAATTACAGATATTTTTAAACATTTTCCTTTAAGGTAATTATAGTCACATGAAGTTATAGGAAATAATAGAGATACCACAGGTCCTAGTTCCCCTCAAAGGTAACATCTTTACCAAAATAATACAATATCACAACCAGGGTATCGACAATGATGTACACGGCTAATCCTATTCAGATTTCCTCAGTTTTACTTTTACTTATTGGGGTGTGTGTTTAGTTCTCTTCAGTTTTAATACTGGTGTAGATCCTGCATCCATCATCACCATTAAGATACAGAACAGTTCTGTCATCACAAGAATCCTGTTTCCTTCTGATAAGCACCCTAATGCCTCCACAACTCCTAGCAAATAATAGTCTTTATTCCTGTGGTATCATTTCAAGAGTGCAATCACACAGGGTGGAATTTTGGGGACTTTTTTCCAGCCAGCATCATCTCTAAAGGATTAAAATAAAATAAGTGGCAGTGCTAATCAATGGTTGTTCCTTCTTATTGCTAAGCAGTGTTCTGTGGTATGAATGTATCACACTTTGCCATTTTACCTGCTGAAGAGCATCCTGGTTTTGGCTACTATGTGTTTGGTTATATCCAAACAGGTGACCTGGTGAACATGTTTTCAGTTCACTGGGATAAATACCTAGCAGTGCAACTGTTGAATCATCATGGAAAGCACAGGCTTAGTTTCTATAAGACACTGACAAACCCTTTCCCAGAGTAGCTGTGCCATTTTACATTTCCCCAGCGTTGTATGAGATCTAGCTCCTCTGCATCCTCACCAGCATTTATTTGAGTCACTCTGATAGGTGTGCAGCAAAACCTCACTGTGGTTTTAATTTGTATTTCCCTAATGGCTAACGATGTTAATATTTTCATCATTAGCATATTCTCTTACAAGAATGTTTATACTTTTTTTCTAATTGGATTGTATTTTTACTGTTGAGTGCTGATAGATCTCTACATTTTAGATGTTTTTTGTTGGATATGTTGTTTATAAAAGCCTCCCAGTCTGCCGCTTGATTTTCATTCATTTTATGTATCTTTTACAAGGAAAATCATTTTAATGTTGATAAAGTTCAATTTACCAATTTTCCCTTTTATGGACAGTGTTCTTGGTGTCCAGTCTTTAAAACTTTGTGCCTAAATGAAAAATCCTGTTTTTTCCACAAATGTAAGTGGAAAACTTGGGCCATATGAATTATTTATTCCATGCTTATATGCAGCCATATGAAGAGAGGTGAAAAAAACCCTAATATCTCACATGAAAGTATAAAATGCTTACCACATTTTTGAAACAGAATTCAGCTATATAAAAAAATAATTATGCACCACAACCAAGTAGGGTCTATTCCAGGAATGTAAGGCTTATTCAATATTCAAAATTCAATCAGTGTAACCCCAGCCAGAGCAATTAGATAGAAGAAAAAAATTAAAGACATACAAATAGGGAAAAAAGAACTCAAACTATCCCTATATGGCGACAACATAATTCCCTATTAAGAAGACCCAAAAAAACTTCTAGAACTCATAAATGAATTCAGCAAAGTAGCAGGATATAAAATCAACACCCATAAATCAATTATGTTCTTATGTATCAGTAATGAATCAACTGAAAGAGAAATTAGGAAAACTACCCCATTCATGAGCTGGGGTTGTGGCTCAGTGGTAGAGCACTTGCCTAGCATGTGTGAGACACTAGGTTTAATTCTCAGCACCACATTTAAGTAAATAAATAAATAAAATATCATGTCCAACTACAACTAAATATATATACACATTATATGTATATAAAAACCCACCCCATTCATAATAGCCTCAAAAACAAAACAAACAAAACAAAAAACCAAAATGGGAATCAATCTAACAAAAGAGGTGAAAGACCTCTATGACAAAACTACAGAACTCTAAAGAAATTGAAGACCTTAGAAGATGGGAAGATCTCCCATGTTATTAGGTAGGCAGAATTAATATCGTCAAAATGGCCATACTACCAAAAGTGCTACAGAGATTTAATTTAATTCTTATTAAGGTTCTGATGACATTCTTCATAGAAATAGAAAAAGCAGTCATGAAATTCATTTTGAAAAATAAGAGATTCAGAATAGCCAAAGCAATCCTCAGTGAGAAAAGTGAGGCATCACAATACCAAAACTTAAATTATACTACAGAGCTATAGTGACAAAAATGGCATGGTATTGGCACCAAAATAGACACACCCATATAAGTACAGTTATCTCATACTAGAAAAAGGTGCCAAAAACATACATTGGAGAAAAGATAGCCTCTTCAACAAACGGTGTTGGGAAAACTGGAAATCCATATGCAGCAAAATGAATTTAACCTCCTATCTCTCACCATGCACAAAACTCAGAGTAGATCAAGGACCTACTCATTAGATCAGAGATCCTATGCCAAATAGAAGAAAAAGTTGGCCCAAATCTATATCATGTCAGCTTAGGAACTAACTTCCTCAACAAGACTCCTACAGTGCAAGAAATAAAATCAAGAATCAATAAATGGAATTTTTTTTCTTTAAAAAAATTTAAAAAAATTTTTGTTCTAATTAATTATACATAAAGTAGAATGCACTTTGATATATCATATCAAACTAAAAAGCTTCTTCACAGCAAAGGATGTGAAGAGAGAGCCTAAAGAATGGGATAAAATCTTTACCACCTACTGTGGGAGATCAACCTTGCACATGACTGAGTCATACTCCCCGGCTGGGTGCTGAGGTGCTCAGTCACAGCAATTTGGCAGAGCTTTCCCCACCTTTCTTGGGTTCCAGGGACGGTGTCTCCTGCATGGGTGTGTCTTGCTATAGCCCCATGGGTGGAGCTACGCTCATCTGTTCCTTTGTAATATAACCCCTTGCCCTGTTTAGGATAGAATCTTCCATGGAAGTGCCTTGTATGTGTCCCCTTCTCTTACAGTGCCCTTGAGTGTGGACTACCCAGATGTCAGTCAACCTGTTGACAGTGGACATCAGGAAGATAGACTCAGCCCCCTGAAACCTGACCCCTTGCCTCATTTGAATAGCTTCTCTTCAATAAAAGGGGTCAGCGTGTGCTCTCTCTCTCTTCCTGAGGACCCTTAAGGTCAGAGGAGCCATCACAGCGATCCCAAAGAAAAAGGTACTTGTGTCTCTTGTGTGGTTATTTTGCGCAGACCAGTTAGCCCAGTTTACCTGGAGTGATTCCTGAGCCTTTTAGTTGCGAGAACAGAAACCCAGCAACCTACACTTCAGATGACCCAGCTATCCCACTCCTAGCTTTATACCCGAAGGACTTAAATCAGCATACTATAGTGACACTGCCACATCAATGTTTATAGCAGCTCAATTCACAATAGCTAAGTTATGGAACCAACCAATAAATGGGGTGGGTTCAAACTAAAAAGATTCTTCTCAGCAAAAGAAACAATCAGTGGAATGAATAGAGAGCCTACAGAATGGGAACAAATTTTTACCACATGCACATAAGATACATAAAGAACTCAAAAATCTTAACACCAAAAAACCCCCAAATAACCCAATGAATAAATGGGCCAAGAAACTGAACAGAAGTTGATACACAATCAATCAACAAATATATGAAAAAATGTTCAACTTCTCTAGCAATTTGAGCAATGCAAATAAAATTTCATCCCTCTCCAGTCAGAATGGCAGCTATTAAGAATACAAAGAGGGTCTGTGGCTGTGGCTCAGCCATACAGTTCTTGCCTAGCACGTGTGAGGCACTGGGTTCAATCCTCAGCACCACATAAAAATAATAATAATAATAATAAGTAAATAAAACCAAATGCTGAATGTTTTCTCTAATATAAGGAGGCTGATTCATAGTAGGGATGGATGAGCAGCATGTGAGAAATAGATGGACTTTAGATAGGGCAAAGGGAAGAAAAGGGATATGGGGGTAGTAAAGACGGTAAAATGTGATAGACATCACTGCCCTAAGTACGTGTATGAAAACATGAATGGTGTGACTCGACTCTGTGTACAACCAGAGACATGAAAAATTGTGCTCTATTTGTGTAATATGAATTGAATTGCATTCTGCTGTCATATATAACAAATTAGAATAAAATAAAATTTAAAAATTAAAAAAAAATATATTAAAAAAAAGAAAGAAAGAAAGAAAAACAACTCCAGTAGCACAGGGCACAGTGGTGAATGCCTATAATCCCAGGAATTTGGGAGGCTAAGGCAGGAGGATTGCAAGTTCAAAGTCAGCCTCAGCAATTCAGGGAGGTCCTAAGCAACTTAGCAAGACCCTCCCTCAAAATAAAAAATAAAAGGGCTGGGGATGTGACTCGTGGCTCAGTGGTTAAGTGTCTCTTGATTCAATCCCTGGTATATCCCCTGTCCCCTCAAAAAACATACTCAATCAGCTATTCTTGTAGGAATGATCTGCTGGCAACATATTTGTTTAGTTTTCTCTCATTTTCCCATTATCCTGTAGGTTGCCTGATATAGCATTCTAGACAGGTAATATATATCTTTCAAGAGCTGAAAGATGTCTTTTACTTTCTGGCCTGTTTTCTGATCAGAAAACAATGTAAGTAAGGTATTTTATCTCTCTCACTACTTTCAACACATTTTGTCAACTTTTCAGAAGTTGGATTATGATGTGTATTGATATGTACTCTTTGGGGTTTATCCTGTTTGTGTTTCACTCAGTGTGTTAGTCTGTTCAGACTCTGTAAGAAAATGCCACAAGCTAGGTAGCTTATAAAACTAGATAAATTCATTTCTCATATTTCTGAAGACTCAGTGGTTCAAGATCAAGACACCCACAGATTTGGTGTCTAGTAAGGGACCATGTCCAAGTACACAGATGGCACTTTTTTGCTGTGTCCTAACACAGTCGAAGGAGTGACTAGCTCTCTGGGGTCCCATTTATACATTTTGGCAACTTTAGGAGGTTTTTAGCTATTATTTCTGAGTACTCTTTTAGTCTCTCTCTTCTGACGCCAGTAACAAGAATGTTAATCTTTTGATATTCATTTTTTTCCAACTCTGTTGTTCAGAAATGGATAATTTTTTTTCCATCTTCTAGTTCACTGATTCTTTCCTTTCTCTTCTATTTTTGCTGAGTCTATCCACTGAGGTTTTTGGTTTTTTTTAAAGCTATATTTTTCCTCCTTTTTTAGTACTGGAGGTTGAACTCAGGATCTCGTGTCTGCATGGTATGTAAATGCTCAACCACTAAGCCACATGCCGAGCCCATTTAAATTTTTTTTTTTTTTGTTTTGAGAAAGGGTTTTGCTAAGTTGCCCAGGCTGCCTTAAACTTTCAATCCTCCTGCTCAGCCTCCCAAGTAGCTGGGATTATAGACATGTACTACCACATGAAGGTTAGTTGTATTTTTCAGTTCTAAAATTTCAATTGGATTCTCCTTTATACCTTCTATTTCTTTGCTGAGGCCTTGTATTTTTCATTTGTTTCTATTATATTTGTTATTAATCCCTGAAACATTATTATGGTTGCTTTAAATTCTGAGACAATTTTAACATTTCAGTCATGTCAGTAAGTATTTGCATCTTTTCTCATTCAGTTTGAGATCTTCTTGGTTCTTGGTATGATCAGTGATTTTCCAATGAAACCTGGACATTTGAGTAAGATCTCTATTTTAGTTGATTTTGATGTCACACTGGCAGGTAAAAGGGACACTGCCTAGTTACTTCAAGGTGGGAGAAGGAGTCCAGGTTCACTATCAGGCTCTACTTTAACCAAGCTTGTTGTTACTGTGGGGTGGCAGGGGAGAGAGATCTCATTCTCCTCTAGAGCCCCAGTTAAATGGTGGTGCCTCTTTACTGCTCCTCCACACTTATCTAGCTTATGTAAGGCCCTGGGTTCAATCCCCAGAACCTCAAACAAAATCCTACCCCTTTGTTTAGAGAAAGCAAGGTTGTGTTTTTTTTTTTTTTTGGTCTGTACTTGTTGGCATTTCTAGGTTGCCAACTTCTTAAGCCCTACGTTTGAGATATATGAGGCAAAAAAAGAAAATCCAGGGAACTCACCACTATAATGTTGCTTGGTTTCAACATTCCTAGCTGGTCTGCTTTCTTCCCTCTACCTTTGACAGTCTTATGTTTGCTTTGGTATATAATGGACGGGGTATTTTGATGTATTTAATGGGAGGAATTGGGAAAAACACGTCCATCTTCCTGTAAGTGCAAGTCCATCATTTACTTTAATGGATTCACTTTGATGTCAATTAAAAACAAAAAGTTATCTGATTTTTACCAATTCCCTTCTGATAGCCTAAAGATTCCCAAAGGTTTAAATAATGCCATACAAGCCATGGAATGAATTTCCTCCTACCTTGTTCACTGCCGTTTGCACAAATGTTAAGGTTGACATATGCACAAGCAGGACCAGGCAGGGATGCTCCTTTAGTCAGTGTGATCTCCAATTCAGACCCCTTTAACTGAGCAAATGAGAACATATGATTAACTGCAGCCTTTAGACTGCAGTATGTCACACTATCACTGAATTCTTAACAAGAACAATAAATCTTAAAAAAAAAAAAAAAAGATTCCCATTCTTTTATTCTGTTCTTTAAAAAATAAGTCAATTGTCATTTACTTCTAACGATTATCACCAGCATCTATAATATCAACTTTTCTAGTGTTAGACAAAACAGATCCACATAGCCATTTCATTTCCTGGCAGATCTCACACACCCTCCTGGCTACCTCCTCCAAGAGAACTTGTACGAGAACAGTTCTGCTTCCCTCCCCTTCATTTCTTATGGATTCCTCTCTGAACCTACTCACTACCATTCAGAGTAATACTTCTATTGGGCGCCAGAATATCCAGATGTAACTAAATAAACTTAAAGTAAAACCAAATCTGCAATCTTTCAATAGTTCAACAGAATTCTGAACTCACCTGTGTTTTTTCCTGAATAAGGATTTTATCTGATGTAGGAACTGGGTATGGTTTCAAGGGAGCTTTTATGGTGGCAAATATGAATTCTGCGTGGCTTTCAATAACGTTATTAAGGTACCTTTCTTCAGACGTTGCATTATAATAGACTGTTATTTCATCAGTTGGAACCAGATTACACTGAAAGTATATACAGAAAAATTTAAAAAAGAAGCACATTTTGCTAATCAAAACTCAGGTACTATCAAACCAGTACTGACAACACCGCATTGGATCACCAAGCAAGGGCTGCCTCCTTGGGAAGAGCTACACTGTAAGAACATGATTGGCTTTGTGGTCCTCTTCTTATTTTTTGGGAAGACAGGATGGGTGTCTTCCTAATACAATCAGCCCCTCATGAACACTGAAACAAAGGAACAACTGAGAACTCACTCAAAAAGCTCTGAACTGGCAGAGTGTGCACAAACACTCCTGTGATCTGCTGGATGACTCCTCTGAGACCCACAGATCCCAGACATCTGGCCTGGGGAGGAAGATATAGAGGAGAACTCCTAAATGTCGACACCTCCTTGAGGTAAGAGTTTTCCCATTCTCTCACTGGGTTTGGTGGCCCCTCTGCTCTGCAGGCAATGGGCTCTGTGCCTTCCTCAGTTCCCAAAGGAGGAAAAACCATCCCACTCTGTCCAGGCCCCAAATCTCTCCCCTGTGCAAGAAGCCCTCCACACTGACTGCAGGTCTGCCTTCCTCAGAGACACTGTCATCTCAAGTTACTTTCTGCACCAGCCAGAGAGCTATTGTTCCAGGTGATTTTGTGGAAGCACGATGAAATTGAAGAAGAATGGTAAGGGGCATAGGTTAGCTAAAAACTCTTGGTCAAAGAAATAAAAAGAACCATATCCAGCTTGAGAGTGTGTAAGCAGGTAGAAAAAGAGGCCTAATTTCCCTGAAGAGTACAATCTTAACAGACAATGGATTAATGAATCATTACCATTAATCCATCAGCTTAATTTACATTACATGCCTTGCTGGTCCTTGTCAACAACCAACATAAAACAAACACAGGCAGCTTCTCCTTGATCTGCAAACTGACCTTCTTTCGAAGTTTCTGGATGCGATTGATGACTTCCCGAGCCATTCCCTCATCCACCATTGATTGGTCAGGGGTGACATCCAAGAGCACCAAAGCCTGCAGAAGGAGCAGCGCACAACGTGACAATCAAGAAGAACCTGTCTTTCAAACTCAGCAAAATGTTACTTAAAACTAATTCTTGGTTATAGTTGAGAGGCAGAGTGCTTGCCTATATGAATAAGGACCTGGGTTTGATCCCCAGCAACATCGAAAAAAATAAATGTAAAAACTGAATTCTCAGGAGTCTATGATGCAATACCATTTATTCATTTTACTGAGCAAAGGAAATAAAACTAATCCAGTACCTTCACCATTCAGGTACTTCTTTGTAAACAGCTATCTTTCACCATGGGAGAAAGATGTAGCATTTACTTCTTTGTAGGGTGCTGCTCACAGGAGATGACATGAGACCCTCTTTCACAAGTCCCTCATGAAACTCTGTATTTTGGTCTTCTAATAACGAGCATCAAGTCTACTAATAATTAAGATAAACAAACATGACACTCCCCAGAAAAGTAAACTTTGTATACCACAAATGAGTGGACTGAGGCCTCAAAGCAGCCAACTCCAGGCAATTTTCTTGATCTGTGACTACTGATGATCCTTTAGTTTGTCAGTATGATTCAAAACGTGAATTCTAGAATGGACTTCAATACTTTTTATATGATTTGATTTAAGCTGCCATCTTATTCCTAACCTTAGTTCCTATCACATCTGTTCTGAAGGTTTTGGTTATATGCAGTAATAATGACACTACTACTTTGATTACATAACCCATTATAGGGTGAAATATACTCTACAAAAGTCCTTGTAAATCGGGAATCATCCATTTCCCATGGAGTAAACTCAATCAGAGAAGTTCACAAACCGCCTTAATACACAAAAAGACAGGTGGAAGTGGATATAGCCCACTACAATATGTGAGCCACATCAAGAAATTAAGAGGCATCACAGATGACACTTCTTTAAATAGGAAAAACTTTCCAGGCCCCTGATGTACTCTTACCAGGAAGGGCTGCCTACTCTCACTGCTTAGAAACTGCTTCTCTGCCTTCCTTCTGGCCATGTCATCTCTGACTCCTTGCCACTGTCACGTGGAGACTGGCAGATGTGAAATCACATCTCTGTGTAAAGGCTTGAGGAGGCTGGTCTTCTTTTTATGGAAATGCCACCTCCCCCTGCCCCCACCCCCACGGGAGATATTCCTGCTTGGAGAAGTGGAGTCACGACTGGGGAGAGAGACTCTGTTCAATCTTAACAAAAGGAGTGACCCTGAATCCGAAATAGCCTATACAATTTTCTTCACGGAGAGGTTCCTGAAGACCTCCAACCTGACCACTATAGGGCCTCTCCGAACTTATTTCCACCTGAGAACTTCTCCAGGCAGATATCAAGACTTGGCTTGAGAGCACTGTTAAACAAACTAAACCAGACTCAGAAAGCCAAGGGTCATATATTTTCTCTCATACTGGAAACTAGAGACGATTAAAAAAAAAAAGAAAGGAAGTGGGGAGGGAGCTCAAGAAAACTGAAGGGAGGGCTGGGGATGTGGCTCTAGCCGTAGCGCGCTCCCTGGCACGCGTGTGGCCCGGGTTCGATCCTCAGCACCACATACAAAGACGTTGTGCCTGCCGAAAAACTAAAAAATAAATATTAAAATTCCTTCTCTCTCTCTCTCAAAAAACAAACAAACAAACAAACAAAAAAAAAAACTGAAGGGAGACCAGTAGAATAGGGGGAGGGAGTGAGGAGGGGAAGGAGGGACGGGGAATGAAAATGACCAAATTATGTTATATGTATGTACAAATGCCACAATGAATCCTACTCTTATGTGTATCACGATAATCTGTTTTAAAAACAAAAAGATTTGGCTTCCTTTCTTGTGTCATGACTGACTTGTTTCTCACGGAGTTTATTTTTCTGCAATCCAACATTTAAAAGACTTTCTCACAAGTAATAACTACAAAACACTGATTCATGCATTCATTAAACAAACATATATGTCAAGGGTCTACCATAGAGAAGTTTAATACAGCAAATCGGAAGTAAATATCTGGTTTATTTTACCTTGAGATAAACTGTCAACATAGTCAGGAAAGGAATAAGTAAAATTTCTCATGTTCTTATCTCTTTGTAAAGAACCTTGTAGGAAACAGAAAAATACCTGAGCATCTGAGTGAGCTTCAAACTGTGCAGTCCCACCTGTGGCCTGGTCAAAGGTGTACATGAGACGGATGTCCTCTTCATGCAATTCATGGCCTTCCACGACAATGCTCCCTGAGGGAGAAGACGACTCCATCAGTTCCTCCTCTTTAAGCTGCCTGGTTACTAGTGCACTGTGCCCATTTTGATGAAAATTTCACAGCAGCAGGGCTGCAAATGTGAGAAGATGTTACTACCCCAGATTCCTACCATTGCTGCAGCCAAGAATGTGACATCTGTAGAATACTCTATGTTGCCCTGAGGACAGTTAAGTCAGCACCAATGTCCATTTTAATAAGCTTCCAGGTCACAAGCTAAAGAGGTGCACCATGAGACGACAGGTTCCCATCTAAACAAGGAGCAGATGGTGAAATGAGTCTTTTAGAGTCCACTCACGAGTGGCTGGAAGGGTTGGTGTGGGTGAAATGAGATGGACGGTGTGAAGAACTGTGTAGCAGGTCTGTCCAGGGCCAGCAGAAAGTGTGGGCAGATGCTGATGGTGGTCCCACCTTCAAGAAAGCCCCCTGTGCTCTCTCGTCATGTTCCTGGGCTTCAAGCTCTAGGCTGCCAGTTCTACTTTAGGTCCCTGCGTTCTGAAAACTCTTCTGCTTTCCATCAGTACAGAACACTTCATCCAGAAACTACAGTTTAGAAATGATAGGCTTTCAGTTTCAAGTAAGGTTTACTTTAGGAATTTCTGATGTGTTGGTTACTTGGTCAAATGACTTAGACTGGGGACTTAGAAGGCTGATGAAACGGCATCTTCCAATTAAATATTCTGAGCTGAATTAGGAACGAGTGACTGAAGTTTTAGCTGCTAACCTCTAAAAATTTGAGGAATCTTAGAGACATGTCCCAGAATTTCCATACCTACTCATCTTATTCCCGAGTACTTAAATCTCTACTCCAAATACCTTTAGGCTTATGATTTTCAATTTTAGGTAGACCTAGTAACAAATAACTTGTGTCCTAGGGCAGCTGAAGGATGTCAAACAGCCATATTCAGACTGAGTACGATTATCATAGCAAGGTTTCAAATTCCTGGGCACCTTGAGACACTATTTAGTGGGGTGGGGAGAGTGGGTTGAGGTTCCTTCCCTAGCCCCATAAGTTGACTGGGCCTCCTGGCTACATATTCTCACATTACCCCATATTCTTTCTTCACAGCACTTTATATTCAGCTCTACTGGGCTTTAAAATATATTTGTTGAATGAACAAATCCAACTTTGACAAATAAGAGATCAATATGTAGATATCTTAGCAGAAGCGTGGGTAGAACAGTGGTGAGCTCTATCCATTTCTCCTTAACAAGAAGCTCCAAACCTCACTGCTAATTTCCTTTCCTCTGAAACCACTGCAATCTCTTCTTTTGACTCTTTTCCAGTCTTTGTTCGGACACGTCCAAAAATTGTCCTTTTTCTCTCCACAAGCAACTTCCAGATGCTCCTGGGGAACACCATTCCCCAGTCATGAAGCCCCAGTAAGCTGTTTTCTCTCACAAGGAAGGATGGTTTTCGAGGCCACAGAGGGATTTGTAGAGCTCCCTGGTAACTAATCCATTTGATCCAGTAACTTCAATCTAGTTATCTCACCTAAAGACATCAATTCTATAAAATAAATACATGCAAAAGTATTCACTGGAACAATATTCATACTATGAATAGACTAAAATGTGATGGTGAGTGGCCTAAAGCACCCAAACCAAAGAATGGTAACATGAATTATGCACATGAAGGAAAATTATACAGCTACTAAAATAGCATTTCCATATACAAATACATAATATGTTGATAATATAAATTGAAAACACAAAGTTAAGAATGTAGGAAAGAACTGCCAAAGTACATAAAGTACTGAAATACATAAAAGTGAAAGATGAGAAATTTAAAAGTTTAGTGCGATCTCCATTAAGACTGATTCTGTGACTATATGTAACTGGTGGAAAGAAGTCAAAATTTTAGCAGTGCACAAGCACTTATGAGGCTACATATTAAACTACAGCGAGTAGTTACCTGTCTATTAGTTACAGGGATGAGTGGTGGGCTAGGGGTCATTTTTATTGTCTTTCCAAATCTTTGGAATTATTTATGTAATTATAAAATGATTTACATAATTTATAATAATTTTTCTTATGAACTTGAAAAAACTTTTTATTTAAGAAGAGGATGAGAAGGTCAAAGTCCAATAGTAGCCTGAATATGAAATATGCCCTGGCCTGAAGACATGAAGGAAACACAGCCCCACCTGAGCGGACACCCACCACTCTTCTGGAACTGCTCCAGCTCCTCACTGTTCAGCTGCTTGATGGCCATCATCACGGTTTTAAAGGCTCCCTTCAGACGCTTCCCCAGGACCATGTGATCCGGTTCTGCCCTTAGCCGAACGCCATACTTGTTTTTATCTGTAGACAGTGTAACTTTTCGAACATTCAGTTCCTATATTTAGTACCCAGGAAAAAAAATATATATATATATGAGAAATGAAAACAAGTTCACATGAAATAGGATATGTAAACAAAAGTCCATAGCAAGATGATTCTATGCAAACTGTAAAATTTAATAAATCTTTATATTTGTTATGATTTACAAAAAAAAAACAAAACAACAAAACAACAACAACAACAACAAAAAACCCATGGAAGAATATTCATCAAAATTATCTTCTTAAAAAAACAAAAACCAAAAAACTATTTGGATCCCAAACAGATGATTCATCAATCTTACCTCAAGGATATACTTTTCTAAAGACTTGATATCATTAAGAGCTTCTGGATCCTGATGAATAACCACAATTTCTTTCAAAGGATACTAAGAGGAAACAGGAGAAAAATGTTTGTTAAGTAGCCAGTCCTCTAAATGGAAGAAACTGGAATGTTAAATGTTTATCTGAATTGTAAGCTCCAGACCAGTTAGGTTGAACTACGTCCATTCACATCCCCAAAAGCAGAAAAGGGGGGAAAATTCTGCCATTGCTAAATGCTGTCTATATTAAGAACCCAGTGCGTGAGGCACTGGGCACCACATAGAAACAAAATAAAGATACTGTGTCCACCTAGAACTAAAAAAATAAATATTAAAAAAAAAAAGGAAGCAATTCCCACATAAAATGAAAAAAAAAAAAAATTCAAACCTTTATTGGAATAGTTTTGCGGTCTCGGATCACTCGTCCAAGTTCAATCACAGACTGCATTCTAGACACTGCACTCTCAGTTTTCTTGTCAATTAATTCCTCACTGTTTGACAGAGCAGAAAAAAGAAAGAAATTAAAAAGGACAAATCCAAAATAGGCATACTTAAGTGAGGAAGAGGGTCAGGCTAGAGAAGGGATAGTCTCTTTTGGCAAGGCACCTGGAACTGCATTAGGGGGTACACAATGAGCTCCCCAGCTGTCCTTAGGAGTGCATCCACATACCACCTGCCACAGTTCTACAGAGGGGTTCTACATACAGCATCCCTCTCCTACTGCTTATGGAAATGGGCCCCATTCTGCAGCTTGAGGAGCAACTTACATTAGCTTGGGTGGGAAGAGAGGCACAGAGGGGCTGGGGTAGGGAACAGCCTACTCTTTTCCATTCCTTCCCTGGGAGCTTGGGCTGCCACATGCTCTGGCAACTCCCCTTCCTATGGCCTAGGAAAGGTTTATCTGCATTTGGTTCCTACCGAACACGGGGCAACATGAGGTAGTGAATGCTGAGGGTGTCCTTGTCCTGCACAGAAGCTGGGTCAATCAGCACCTTTAGATTCTGGTACATCAATTCAGTGAGAAATGGTGTGTATGGGGCCTGTATGAGGACACAGAACATCATGTCATTCATATACATAACAACAGCTGATCTCACAGTGAGAAACAGTAATTAAACATTTTAGAGAATGACAAGGTACTATGCAGACTTGGGCATAAGGTTATTAAACACACTCTGTGAAACAGAAAGGACCTTGTATCTGTGAAGCCCAGCAGTAGGGCAACAGTCAGCAGAACTTAAAATATCCCTAAATTTCTGCAATATGTCAAACAAACAAACAAAAATCAAATCAGGAGCCTGTGACCAAGAATCAGTCAAGTCAATATGCACAGAGGACTGAAACCTCATCCATAATTGGGGAAACACCACATGCTGTGCAGTATTCTGGTAAATAAAGTCAGACATGGAAAGCACTAGGCATGCAGGACTTTGCACAAAGTAGATCCTCCTACAGTGAATGTTACAGAATGAATGGGGAGATTGTAATATTATACTGGAGTAGGAGAACGGGATATAGGCAATTAAAACCGAAGGCTTCTTACTATATAATATTCAACTAATATTTGAACTGGAAGGAAGACACATTCCAGTTACCTGCACATTTTTCTCTCAATGGTTAAGTTAAAAATGTTGTTTGTGATGTATTTGTTCAGGTAGATGAATTCAGGAACCTCCTGGTTATAATTATGGCAATCCATATTAAGTCATGATCTTCAATTATAGATCTTGGTCTAGATGCAAGATTTCTGACCTGTACTACACTGCCAATGACTATAAGAATCTAGTATTTCTTAGCACTTATTTAAAATATATGAACAAGGAACTAAAGATAAGCTCTTTCAAGACTTTTATACCAAACATATACAAGCTAAAGAAGGGCACCACATGCAACCTACAGGCCAGTTATAGGAACTGGCCAAATATCTCACCATTAGTCTGCACAGAGAAAGCAGGACACTAAACAAGGTCTCCAGGGCCATGACACAATCCTCCATCCCATTTTCACCCTAGTGAATAAAAAAGAAACAGGAAACTGCTTAAAAAAAAGTTTATCAATAAACCATTTATTAAAAGAGGCAACCTGAAGACAGCAAAGAGCAAATAGCAGAGAGGACACAAGGTAGAACAAGGAGAAATGGTGACAACCATCGGCCACAGAGGGTCATCCATCATGGTGGTCTAATTCATTGTAGGAAAAAATTAAGATAATAATAAAAGAGCCAGGTAGGACGGCAACTCAGGAGGCTGAAGCAGGAGGATCACAAGTTCGAGGCCAGCCACAGCAACTTAGCGAGACCCTGTCTCCAAATAAAAAATTAAAAGGGCTGTGGATATAGCTCAGTGGTAAAGCTCCTAAGCTCCTCTGGGTTCAATCCCCATATGAAAAGAAAAAAGATGAAAGAAAATCCAACTATATTTTAGTTTCTCAGACATAACTACTATAAACACCTTAGTATATATCCTTATAGATTATGACATGTCCACACCTATATTGTGAAAACATGTACAATGACTTTTAGAACTTATAGGTCCCTGTTACCAAACAGCAATCAATACAATTAGTATGCAAGGTAAAAGGAAAAGAAAGTTTCAAAAACAGAGGCTTTGGGACAATGTTCATTTTCCCTTTGACTGTTCTCATTTTTCCAACGCTCAAACTTTCACACACTTTTTGCTTTTCCCACCAGCACCTACCTTTAATCTTCTGCGGTTCATTCTGACATACCAATTGGTTAGAACGTCTACAAACTTGACCAGGCGAGGCACCACAGTGTAAAGCCTATAAGCTAAAAGTAAGAGAATCAGCCAGGTGGCCTTTAACAGCCTCATGAGATGAGGCCTGTACACAATAAAGCACAAGCAGCCCCTCTACCTAGGGACTCCATTCACTATAGAGACAGTAAGAATCAGACCAAAGCAACCACAAGTGGCTCATTTATTGAGAATAAATAAGAGTCAAAGTGTTCAGGAATGCACCATGAGCCACATGCAAACCCACACTGGTCAGTAGGAAACACAGAACTCCAGTCTGTGTGTGTCGCACAGTCCGAGGCACACACAATTCTGGGAAGCATGGTGTGCATGGAGTTGGACAATGTAACAGCACCAACGAAGTCCAGCTTCTTTCCAGTGTGCAACTTCACACCTCAATTAAAAACCCGATAAGCAGAAAGCTCTAAAGGTCTATGCCTCTTACCTCCAGAGGACATTTCGCAATGCCTAGAAGACACTTTGGTTGTCTTAATTTGTGGGGTAGGGGTACTACTGGCATCTAGAGGGGGGATCTAGAGATGCTGCCAAAATGATATAGAGGACAGCATGGCCCACACCAAAACAAAGAATCTAGCCCATACTATTGACAATGCCACTGCTGAGAAATTCTGACAAAGGCTATGATTAAAAACAGAACAGGCTTTCTAGAGATTCAGATAGTCAAGGAAGAAAGCCAAAGGTGTAGTGGAAAAAGAGACCTCTTGGGCACAGAGGTGGCAGGCCAGCAAAGTTGGGATCTCAACTGAACAGTCTGGGTCATGAGTTGGTCTCTATGTGGATACCTGGATTCCCACAAAAGACCTAGTTGCTAGGCAGAGTGAGCTCTGGCCAGGGTGTAAGCTCTCCAGACCAACTTCATAGGAAGTCCTGGCAGCTGGTGCTAAAAGGTGGCACAGGCCTCACTCACAATCCCCACATTGTCCACCCACTTGTTGACAGCTGTGTGTGAGCAAGCTCTCAGCACTGCCCTTTCCTGGCAGGAGTCAGACTCTCACTCATTTCCAACTCCATTCATGTCAATTTGCCCAGCAGCTACACAGACCTTCTGTGCCAAATTTAACAGTACTGACTAAACCAGGGAAAGCCCAGTGCAGATGACCAGGCTAATGCTGACCCTGGTCTACTCTGTCCAGCTGTACCTGCCCAACAGGGTGCAGAGAAGGCAGGTCAACCTCTCTGGTCTCTCTTGCGCCCACTGTGACCTGGGGCATCTGCCTGCCCACTTTCCAGACTGAGATGCACCAGTCAACAGTTTCTAGAATTTTTCACTGGATCTATGATTTTACCATTCTCAAACCCTGAGGAAGTCAATATAACCCACTTTCCCAACCTCTCTCTAAAACTAAACTCACTGGTGTTTATTTAGGAAAACAGACCTAAAATTAAAAAAAAAAATGCATTATAACAAGTATTACTTATCGAATACCTATTTCTGCCTGTCAACTTATGTGAATCATCTCTATTTAGCCTTATTATAATTCTACCAGGCATTCTGCAGATAAGGAAATCTAGGCTGAGAGACCTGAGGCAAGACCCTGGAGAGGTAACAAGTGGTAGACCTGGGGTCTGAACCCATAGCTATCCAAATCCAAAGCCTATTACACTGTGAAGGAGTGAGGCCACCTGGACACCCCTCAGACAGAATTCTTAAGGGCTTGGAAACAAATACCTTTCTATAATCAACAAGCCGTAACAAAATTATATTTGGGGATTAGAAGAAATATTTATTTGCTGTCTGTTCATTCTGTTATCTCTCAAAATTTCTTCTATTTTTTTTTTTCAAAGAAAAGCAATTAAATAATGAAATGACACACATAAACACATAAACACACATAAACAGTCCTTAATCATAAGAGGACAGACCAGGAGAGACTCACCTGCCATTTCGGTCTCAAAGAAGCCCACAAGCGACTGCATGAAGGACAGAATCCACCGGTCTGTGATATTGGGGCTTTCTGTAACAGTGCTCTCATTGTAGAGGAATTCTATTTCTTCTTCCTGAGGACAATTAATGAGACATTCACATTAACAGAAGGGAAGTAACTTACTAGAGAAAAATAAACTCAAAAATCACTAAAACAGAAAGAGCAGCAAAAACCCAAAACAACTCAAATTATTAACAGGCAATCTAATTTTCTGACATTCAGCAATATTATCCAGATACACACTAACTTGGGACATTAAGTCTTTAATTCCTTCATACTATTATTTTTTGGTACCGGGTACTGACCTTAGAGGTCACTGATCACTGAGAAACAACCTCATCCCTTTTAATATTTTGAGATAGGGCCTTGATAAATTGCTGGGATTATGGGTGTGTATGATGGTGCCTGGCAATAATTGTTTTCTGAGTGAAGTGAAGAGAATTCAGGGAAAAAAACTACTGCTCTGCACTGAAGAGTGCTTCTGAATTGAGAGATATTTGCAAATCTTATATATGGTTTAAATACTTTAAAATCCAAGGAAAGAGCTGGGTGGGGTGGTGCATGCCTGTAATCTCAGCACATTAGGAGGCTGAGGCAGGAGGATCACAAGTTCAAAGCCAGCCTCAGCAACTTAGTGAGATCCTAAGAAACTCAGTGAGACCTTATCTCTAAAAAAAATATAAAAAAAGGCTGGGTGAACTCGAGTTCAAGTCTCAGTACCATAAATATCTATCTATCAATCAATCAATGGAAGGAAAAAAGGACAATAAAACTTTCTGGGACAGAATACAGGATTGTCTACAAACGGAAACCTAGTACTGGGAACTATTTGCATTCTTAGGCTGATGACCTTACCCAGAATACTCTATTCCTCTCTGCTTTTTGCTTTGTCCAAATCTTCCTTGATTCTAAAAGCCCATTTCACCTGTCCCTGCTCCACAAACTGAATTCCCTGACCACTTTGGTTCAGGCAGCAGCAGCAGCACCAGGGTAACAAGAGCAGAGATAATGTGACCTCACTAAACATGATGTCCCTGGCACTGAGAATCTGCTGATAAAACAAACATACCCTACCCCTCTACAGGTGAGGCCCATGACCCACAGAAGACCCTGGACAACTATTGCACCTTCATGCATGGCCTCCTCATGGCTCTTGGCTGTCCCCAACATCAGAGAGTACAACAAAGTGGCCACACAGAGCCCCACCTTGTGGCTTAGCACATGTGTGGCCTACTGTGGCCTGTACCTTCTGGAGCCTCAAGATGTTCTGGATGAAGAAGCGGTAAGCGTTGTACCATGGGAGCAGCACATCCTTAAGGACGTCCCGCACGCCCTCCTCCTTAAAGCGGAGATTTTCTGCTCTCACCACAGGGGAATTAATCAGATATAATCTGGAAAAGGCAGAAAATTCACATGGGAAAGTTACATATGATCAATTTAAAAGTCAAAAAGTCTTTGTTTTGTGTACAAGACACAGCAAATTACAAAGGGGTTACCCGTTTGTGACCCCATACCAAAATATGGCACTGCATTCAGAATAAGAGGAAGGCTGCCTGATCCTCATCAAGAGACACTTCTTGTCTCCCATGGACACTGCCCACATCTCCAATGCATGTGGACACAGGAGTTCAGAGAGAGTAGCCTTTACAAAGTGCAGAGTGTGGCATTTGAGTGAAGATATTAGGAATATCAATCACTCTACAGGATAGCCCACACTATAGTTACTTAGCCTAAATAGTGGATGCACCAAGGGCAAGTCTGACAGATAAATGAGTTGAAGGATAGCCCTTCTCACTGCTCCAGGGCTTGGGTCTTCTCTATGACATGGGGATGCTGAATGAGACCTTCAGGTCCCTTTCAACTTGAATACCATGTGATTTCATGATTATGAACATTTCAAACAGTGGCTCAAATTTCTCTAAAACTTCTTCAATATTAATTTATTTGCTCTTACTCATATGGTTTTATAAGTGTGAAATTAAAATAAATGGTAAAAAAAAAAAATCCTAATACACAAGACACAGAAACTAGAAAGAATGTGACTCATAGGCAACCTGCAACTAGTCTCGGGGAGGCCCTGGATAGCTCATAAAATCCAAAGCAGGTCCTTTTCCTCAAAAAAAATCTCTAGGTTTGAAAATGATTTTATTATACAGAAAACTGTTTTTAGGCCTTAAAATCAACAACCACACCAATGTAACTTTCCATATAACAAATCCATGTTAAAAAGCATAATTACAAACTAAGAACTTAAGAACTGTAATTAATAATATGAGAGATGCCAATATAAAAATGACACACACACTGAAGATGAAGGACTGCTTTGTACCTGAGCGCATCAGCACCATACTTCTCGATAATTGAAACAGGATCAGGATAATTCTTTTTTCTTTTGCTCATTTTCTGGCCATCACTTATAAAGCAAAAAGTAGATGCCAATTAAACAAGTAAACAACACAGCTGACTTTTACACATGTATATAGATTATCTGCAACTAGGAATACACAAATGCAAATGGAAGGAGTAAATAATTTAGATGCAAGCCAGCATTAAGACATACCTACGGTTGTAAACAATTTCTGAATACCATGGGGAGCCATCAGGCTGACTAGAGAAGGAAGATATCTTTGCATTTATCCCAGAGAAATAAAGAATTATAGTTACATAAAAAATTACTACAAGAATGTTCACAACAGCTTTATTCACACCAGCAAACAGTGAAACACCCAGATGTCTTTCAAGGGGTGGAAGGTTAAATAAACTATGGTACACCCATACTATGGAACACTATTCATCAATGGAAATGAATGAACTTTTGATATATACCTCTATCACAATCATATACTATCTAGACTAGTGGTTGCCAGGGATTGGGAATGAGGGTGGAAGGTTGGAGAGTGAGTGTAATTATAAAGGGCAATAGGAGAAAACCTTGTGGTGTTGAAATCATTCATTATTATGACTGTGTTTGTGGACAGAGAAACCTACAGATGTGAGAAAGTTGTATTCTAGTAAATACACATAAGCAAATGAGTATATCTAAAACAGGAGAAATGAGAATAATATCAGTGGACTACGTACGTCAGCCTCCTGGTTGTGATATTTATTATTAGACTATGATTTCCAAATGTAACCACTGGAGGGAAACTATGCAAAGTATGCAAGAGAGCATACTTTTTGACATCTTTATGCATGCAAACTTATAATAACGTCAATAACATTTTCAGTGAGGGAGGAAAGAAAAGGTCTGAGAGTGCAGCTCAAAAGAACACATGCTTAATACGTGAAAGCCCTGAGTTCAGGATTCGAGACATGAATTTAGCACTCATTTGCTAAGCCCTTCAGCAAGTTACTTTTCTGTGCTGTAAATTTCTTCATCATTGAAAGGAGATAATTACAGGAGCCATGTGAAATAGTTCTGAAAATTGACAGTGTGAGGACATGTTGATGTACACAGGGTAAGGACACAGACAGACTAGATGTTAGATCTTCCTCCTCATAGCCATGCCTCTATATTATTTTATTTATGTTTATTCTCAATGAGTAGAGGTAATGGAAGCAAAGGAAAAATAAGAGTGTCCTATAATAGTCAAAAATTGGAAATAATACTCAATGGGGGGCAGAGTGGAGCATGGTGTGGCTCTCACTAGCTTGGGTCTTAGAACTTGGGTTCTAGAGCCCCAGAGAGCTTCCTTGTAAGTTAAACAGAGGTTAACAAAACCCCACATTTTAGGACTGAACTAGTCACTACATAGAAGAGTGCACCTGCCTTGCCAGGACAAGACCGTTCACAATCACATTCTTGAAAGGTGGTTGTCCAAAGAGGGCTGTGGCCAGCACCAGTAGGGTGTAAAACCTGAAGAAAAAAAAAACAGCAAAACCCCAACAATTCGGTAAGAACAGAGAAGGAATCCAAGCACAGGAAAAAATACATTAACTCACTGGACTGAATTTCTATTTTTGATACAGTATACTTCTTGATAATCATACAAACCAAAGGTTCTTAATTCTAGTTACACATCATAACCATGAAGGAAGGGTTGAAAAATAAACAGATGCATGGAACCCACCAGAGATCTATCAAATTAGAGCCTCTGGCTTGCAAAGAAATAAAAGCCTCCATCAATGTCCTGGTCCTCCCTCTGCTACCCCAACTCCCCAATAGGGAGCTAAGTATAACCAGCTATAAAGGCAGCACAGGGTTCCCTCAGCACCACCTGAAACACCTGGTGAAACAAGAAAAGATCATACAGGACAAATAATGTGATGACAAAAAGAAAAAAAAGCACTCATACAAAGGTCAAAAGGCAGACTCCAGAACCTAGAAAATGCTTCTATTTTGTCAGATGTTATGCATCCCATTAATGCATAGCTCCCTAGCCTGTTCCTTGTGAGAACTCTCACATTCCTGCCACTGCCCTGGGTGATGCTTACATGCCACCCTGACATGTACCTACTATCCCAGGGGTGATGTTCTCCTATCACCTGACCTAACCCTGTACTCTAGGAACATCAGGGAACATAACTAATGAGGAGAGAAGACCCCCATTCTAGTATAAATACCAAGCCAGACAGCCCTTTCAGTTCAAAAAAAACAGGCTAGGAGGACTGCTGGTACCCAGGAGGCAGCCATGATCTGTGGAAAGGGAGAGTGGGCACATGGGGTCCACACAAAGACTTAAAACAGCTGCCAGACTTCACTATTTTTAAGAGAAACAAGCTCACTGGGAAGTCATCTGGCCCTCCCCACAATAGGAATTTGTTTCTGATAGCTGTTCCTATAGATAAATTGATTAGAATATTAAAATGACACATTGAATACACTAAGGTATGGATTCAATGATTAACACAAACTGGAAGAGCAGAAAATAACACCAAAAATTCCTTAAATACATCCCTTTAGAAACATTATTAATGAAACTATAATTAGCACATGGGCCAGCAAATCCTATCCAAAAAAGAAGGCAACACACTTTTTTCCAATTAAGGGGATGAGCATATTGCTTAATAGGGCACAAGACAAAACCCAATTCCCAAATCCTCCTCCCTTGTGTATTTTAAAATTTGGATTTTCTTTAAAATGTTAATTGATAAGGCTAGAATTTTTACCCATGCACATGACTACCTCCCCAATATTAAGCACCCAACCTATAATCTTGTAAATACTCATTAGGCATTTGAGTAAATAATAAGAAAAAGTTAAGAACACATATTGTTTTGTATGACTTAAACTTCCAACTTAACATATAGATAAATGCAAAAATATTAGTGAAATAATTCAAATTATAATACCATAGTTCTATTTCAGTGAAAGAATATCCTAGTTGAAAAGCATTTTAGTATTCATAGTGGGTAGAAAGGTCAGAAAGCAGGAACACAGGCTGTCTTGTTTGCCACGGCCCTAGTCAGCACAAAAGGACACACGGTAGGTACTCAATAAAATCAAGAAAACACTTAAAGCAAGAAAGGGCATACCATCCTCTGGTTTGGTCTATGCCTTCGGCAATGAAGTCTGCAGGAAAAGCATCTTCAAACTCCCTCTTGTTTTCAAATGGATAATGAACCTGAGCATAGGGCATGCTGCCACTTTCGAACCAGCAGTCAAATACCTCAGACACGCGCCTCAGTGATCCTTTCCCACAGCGTGATGGAATGGTCAGGTGGTCAATGCTAGTACACAGAAAAGCAGTACTTCTCATTTTATGCACAACAGAACTTGCAGTTTAACTGCCAGTAAGAAACACAGAGCCCCAATACGATATTATTCAAAGGTTGTACAACAAGGCATGTACAATGGTGGTCCCATGCAACTGTAAGGGAGCAGAAGAATTCCTCTCACTTAGTGACATATAATGGTCCTGACGCTGAGTAAATGGATTATTCATGTGTTTATGGTGATAGTGGTGTGAACAAACCAGTGTGCTACCAGATGTATAAAAGTAATAAAAATATAGCACATATAATTAAGTACAGCACATAACATGATAACAAATGATGTAACTGGTTTATGCATTTACTTATTTTTTTGTGTGTGGTAATGGGGATTGAGTCCAGGAGCACTCTGCCACTGAGCTGCATCTCCAGCCAGTTTTCGTTTTGAGACAGGGTCTTGCTAAATTGCCCAGACTGGCCTTGAATTTCTGATCTTCTTGACTCAGCCTCTCAAGTCACTAGGATTTCAGGTGGGCCACCACCTTGCTTGGCCTTCTCATTGTTACTTTAGAGTGTACTTCTACTCATGAAAAAAAAAAGTTAATGAAGCCTGTAATCCCAGCTACTTGGGAGGCTGAGGCAGAATGACCAAAATTAAAAATTTCAAAGTCAGTCTGGACAACTTAGTGAGACCCTGTCACAAAAATGAAACTTGAAAAAAGAGCTGGTGATATACCTCAGTGGTAGGGGTAGTTACTTAGCACATGTGAAGCCCTGGGCTTAATTCCCAGTATGACAGGAAAAAAACCAAAACGAAACTGTCAAAACTGTATGGCTATTATACTAACAGTATCCACCTACATCTTGTGTTTACCATGTTTCTTGGTTGCATAAAAAGGCCATGTCAAGCGAGTCATCTATGCCATCTGGGTTTGTGCAAGGACACTCCAAAATGGGTGTTCATACTAAAAAAGAATTGTCTAAGGATGCATTTCTCAGGACATATCCCATAGTTAAGTGAAGCATAAATGAAAATGCATTTGTAAACAGAAATGTCAGCCATTCTCAAAGGCTTTTGAGAGTACCACACATTATTGTCACCTGGTGTTTCAACTGGGGAGGGAGGACATATTACCTTAATCCTATGCAAGTCATCAATAGTGATTCACAAACTAGCGCTTGCCATGTGCAGCTATGTAATTTGTTAGGTATCATGTCTCAGTAGGAGGTGACAGGACTGAAGTGAATTAATCATTGAGAAACTGACCTCTCTCTGTGGAGATCCGAGATTTTTGCTCCTGACAGTTCTTCAAGTTCTGCCACTGACCCAATGCAAACTACCTGTTAAAAATAAAGTTAAAAGAAAGAGTTCCTTAGAGCCAGAGAGATCAAACTGAATTAATTTACGTGATATTCCTGTTTGAGAAACCTCTGATTTTTCCTTAAAAGCTCATTAAAATACCAATCTGGGCTGAAGGACACTATCTTCAACATGGTTGACTGTTCAACAACACCACACACTGGTCTCTGACAAGGCAAGCACTAACTTGTCCACTTTGTTATCTACCCTATGTCAGAGGGCTCTTACGTGGGGATTTTAAACACTGACAGCCATCATCTTAGTGGGTAATTATGGAGGGTTTACTATGTGCAAATCTCTGCCAAAATCATGGTGAAATGCATAAGAGAAATGCCTTGGACTATTGATCTAAGGCATCTGTGTTTCTTCCTGGCACCTAGAACTTTAATCTGGAATCTGCCCAAGACAAAGCTAGAACTAAGTTAGTGTTCTTGGATCAGATCAAAAGACTCAGCCTAACTCACTAGATGTTAGGATTTATCTAAGTAAGGAAGTGAGAGATGGAGCTTGCTGGTACACTCAGAATTAGGGGAATCCTTTGACCGGGGCTGTGCCAGCGGGAGCTGCTGTGGGTCTCACCTAGCAAGGGGGTTTCGGCTACACTACAGGCACCCACAGTCTCTTTCTCCGTCTTTCCTGTCCAGTTCCCCAAAATCTTCTGATTCAGTTACTTCACAGCTGCCTCTTAGGTCCCTAAAGGAAAGTGACAAGTCCCCAAGGTGCCATTGCTTATCTTTGCTGTAAAGCTCTCAGTAATGGCAGAAGACCCTCTCATGGAAATATGTCTGTGTATCTGCGCATGTACACACATGTACACACACACACACAAATTTTTGTAAGTTTACTAATGCAATTTTAGAAGTTTACTAAAGCCATCAACACAATGTTAAATTTTTTTCAAGTTCTGCTTTTTCATTATTTTCATTATTAACCTTAAGTTAATGCTATAACTTAATGCACAGAGGAAGAGATCTGTGTAACACAAGAATAAAGCACTTAATATGTGGATTTCCCTGAGAAAAACGCAGAATGTATTTTTTACTTTTTATAGAAGAAGAAAATTTAGAAATTCAAATACTAAAAATAATTATTTTATGTCATGATTCTAGAAAAGAATAGAGAAAAAAAAGAGATGAAATAAGAAAGGGGCAAAGAGAGAAAAACATGACTTTCCACCACATTCACGCTGCATGAGCAAAGTGCCCCAGCACAGTCCACATGGCCCCACCTCACCTCCTCAAAGTCTTCACTGACCCACAGTGGGATGGGGGTGCCCCAGTATCTGTTTCTGGAAATTGCCCAGTCACGTGCATCTTTCAGCCAATTTCCAAACCGCTTTTCTCGCACGAACTCTGGGACCCTGCCGTAGTACATTAGACAATCATTTAAGAACAAAATTCCATTGAAATAAAAATTGTAAATTATATTCATATAAGCTTTTGTGAATCAAATGATATAAAATACTGAGCTCACTGCTAGGAACATGTTTTCTTTTTATTTTTTCCCCCCAGTACTGGGGATTGGACACAGGAGTGCTCTACCTCTGTGCTACATCCCTAACCCTTCTTATTTTTTGAGACAGGGTCTCCCAGAATTGCTAAGGCTGGCCTTGAACTTGAGATACAAGAAGCATATTTTATAATGGATAGCACCAGCATACGTGACAGCCTTTGCTTCCACTGACTTGACCCAAAGCATATACATTCCCCACATCCTCCTTGTCAACTGGGGACCACCACAGACCTCTCTTGACTAGCCACCCTGACTCTAGCAGCTTCATTCCAAGCAATTCTAGTCTTCATGTCATCTGATGACACCAGCTTTACTAAAAAGTATTAGCATAAGCTCCTAATGAGCTGGGTAATTGGAAGTTTCTCTGTGGCCCTCTCTGGTCTCCTCCTTGGTCATCCCTGACCTTGCATTTTAGCCTTCAGCAATGAGGTTAAGTTCCTTGGCATGTGACTCCCCATCTTTCTCTGCCATTTAGTCTTCCTTCCCTCTGCCATCCCTACTACTCCCAGAACTTCTACTATTTTGACTGGAAAAGAGCTCCTTATTCCTTAAGGTTCAGCTTTGCAGGAATTCCTCTAAGCACAAGGCTGAGTCAGGGTATTGCCAGGCTTCTAAATATGTCTTCTTCTTTTGGGCACTGCATTTTTATCCTGCTTTCTACAGATCAGTTTATATGTCTATTCTCCTTTGAGGCTACCTTATTCCACACTACTACCTTATACATTAGAGGAACTAATGAGCTTGCTAGCTTTAGATGAAAAAGCTGCTTTTTTTTGGGCTGGGGATGTGGCTCAAGCGGTAGCGCGCTCGACTTGGCATGTGTGCAGCCCAGGTTCGATCCTCAGCACCACATACAAACAAAGATATTGTGTCCGCCGAAAACTAAAAAATAAATATTTAAAAAAAATCCTCTCTTAAAAAAAAAAAAGCTGCTTTTTGAGAAGTCACACTTTGCTATAATGTACTAGAAAGCCATAGTTTAAAACCATTTTTCTTTATTGTCCTGAGATCTCATTTTCCCCAAATCAAATACAATTCTTTGGTTGGGTTAAGTCCCTGTGGGAAGTAAGAATTGAAATCCAAAAAAACAAAACAAAACAAAAAAGAATTGAAATCCAAACTCTCAGCGAAAAACATTCTTTTGAAATGCAGATTTGAACTTTGTTTCATTTTGCAAATTCAAACTTTGCTTCATTTTACAAACACAGGTGGAGATGACATTGTCATCTATTTGCCAAACTTCAGCTGCAGAGAGAAAAGTTTCTGAGCTTGGAGCTTATCTATACCAGGAACTCAACAAGCACCAAAAATGGTTAAGTACAAATGGTGTTTTGCGGATACACCACAAAATGTTTATCCTGAAAATTTTTATTTGATGTTAGCAGAGGGAGTAACGCCAGAATTTTTCCTCCAAAGTCATTTTACTATGTAAAACGTATAAGGGGCCATTTCTCATTTCCATTGGGTTTTAAAGAAAAAAAAGGCTTCTTTACATGTTGTATCATAAGGATATTACTCTTGTATATTAAATTATTTTATGTTCCTTTACATACAGAATAGAGACAGCTATAACAATGAACAATAAAAGATGGTTATAGGGGCTGGTAGAGTGCTTGCAGTACCACAAAAAACACATAAATAAAATAAAGGTATTATGTCCAACTTAAAAAAAAAGATGACTATAAAAAGTACAGTCATAATAAAAATTGTGACTTGGGAGAGTGTAAACCATACTAACCAAAGCAAAGGAGAGTATGAAGAAACACATCTCACTGCTCACCAGTAACACAGGTCGTTGTTCTTCAGTAGCTGATCCACCATGTGCTCCACTCGCACAAACCAGCTGGGCACTGCTTTGTAAATGAGCGGAGTGTCTGATCTGGGGAGGCAAACACAGATGGAGCCAGTCAGGAGAGATGTAAGCACCCAAGGAAAACTGACTTTCAGTCATTTATTAATACACCACTATCTACCTGGACTTCTGCTTAGACGAACACATACATACACGTTATACTGTACTGTATTTTTAAATTTTAATTATTTCATTTTATTTTATTCTATTTTATTTTTTAGTACTGGGGATTTAATTCAGGGAATGCTTTATCACTGAACTACATGCTCAGAACTTTTTATTTTTTAATTTTGAGACAGGCTCTCTATAAGTTGCTGAATGAAGCTGGCCTCAAACATGTGATCTTCCAGTCTCAGCCTCCAAAGCTACTGGGATTACAGGGTGTGCCACTGAGCCTGGTTAAAATTCATTTTTATTATAGATGCAAATGTCTTAAGTCTTAAAAATTGGTCATCTCACTGGGGGCAGTGGCATATGCCTGTAATCCCAGCAGCTTGGGAGCTAAGGCAGGAGGATCAGAGTTCAAAGCCAGCCTCAGCAATGGCGAGACACTAAGCAACTCAGTGAAACCCTATCTCTAAATAAATATAAAAGAGGACTGGGAATGTGGCTCAGTGGTCGAGTGCCCCTGAGTTCAATGTCTGGTAACAAACAAACAAACAAAAAAACTCAACATCATCTCCACAATACTACGAAGGGCAAAACCCAATAAAAGAATGAGACCAGAGGTGGATGCAGTGCTGCACACCCTTGGAAGGCTGCAGCAGGATTGTAAATCTGAGGACAGTCTTACTGAGAGACCCCAAGGCAACTTAGTGAAAGATCTTGTCTTAAAATAAAAAACAAAAAAAGATTAGGTACACAGCTCAATGGTAAAGCACACCTGTGTTCACTACCCAGCACAAAATAAGTAAATAAATAAATAAATACCAACACTAAAAAGAAAAACAAGAGTTCTACTGATGACAGTTTTCTAAGATGTGATGTGACTGTCAGCAGAGAGACAAAATATGGGGACTGAATTTTAGGCCACTGAACACTAGATTTTGGTCCACAAATTTGTAGCATGATCCAGTATTAAGACTTGATATCATAACATTATATTTCTCAATAAATTCCATTATAAAATTTCAAAGATGTTTGGCATCCTTAAAAAAGAAAAAAAAAAATGTGGCCACAACATAAAATAGTGTGTATCCCCCAACCCCGCAACTCCCAAGGAAAGAGACGACTTTTTTGCATTCTCCTAAAAATAAGAGGGCAGTTTCCAAACACTAACTACAGGGTACCCCTGAGATGGATCCTATGAATGTGAAGGTACAGGCACACAAACGGCGTAACCAGAGTGTGGAGTTCCAGCTACGATAGTCTTGGCCTCCTCTTACCTCCAGCAGAAAGGGTAACTGTGTGTGAAGGTGCTGGCAACAAGAAGTCTGCCCTGTTCCTTCAAGGTCCTGATGATGTTTTTGTCGGCATCCTGTTAAAAAATAAAAATTCAGTCATTAAAACATCCTATCAGGGCTGGGGATGTGGCTCAGCAGTAGAGCGCTTGCTTACCACGTGCGAGGCCCTGGGTTCAATCCTCAGAACCACACAAAAATAAATAAAATAAAGATATTGTGTTCAACTACAACTAAAAAATAAATATATATAAAAAACCCTATCATATTTAGCAGCAACATAATTATATTAGTAAAATCGAACATTGTGTTGTGATTTAAAGGCATCAAAAAAATGTGTCATTAAAAAAACAGTGTTCATTTTTAGTCACATAAATACATTCCATGACGTTTTTTTAAAAGGGGGGGGGGGTGACACTGGGGATTAAACCCAGGGACACTTGACTACTGAGCTACAGTCTCAGCCCTTTTTATTTTTTAGAGACAAAGTCTGGCTACACTGCCCAGACTGGCCCCAAACATGTTACTCTCCACCTCACCCTCCCATGTTGCTGGGATCACAGGGCAAACCATCACGCCTGGCTCCATAACATTTAAGGAAGTTTTCAATTGGAAACCATTACCCCAAGGTCACAAAACTGCTTCATGAATCACAGAGTTCTGTTTTTGACTCCTGCTCCTGAAACTAGAGCACGCTTCCTTTAAAGACATCACACCCGTCTAGTACAGCTGGTAGTATCTGCCTGTTTGATTTGATGCTGAAACAACAAAAAACCCCACCAAGTTCCTAGATGAATTACAACATAAGCTATAAATGAGAGTGATAAGTTGCATTGATTTCCTTACTTGAGGAGGAAAAAGGGGGGACTGATTGATGAAATATATATATATATAAGAGTAACATCCTTCTGGTCTTATGGACTACAAACCTTCACATACTGTCCCACAAAATGTGTTACTTCTTCTGTGAAGCAGCCTGAAGCATCCACAGGACAAATAGGGAGTGAGTCTTTCTGAATAATGTTGAAGTCCATGCAGACCCGATAGTCATCCTGGGAAAAGGGAACGGAGGAGCAAGAGGGAAGAATAAAACAGTTGAATGTGCGAGGAAGGAGGAAAGCATGAAATGGTAGGTTTACAAACTTTTGAGTATTCTGATATATACACATAATCAGCTTCATCCTTTTAACTAAAGGTGATTCAACGACCATTTAGGCTGATTAGATCATCCAGCTTAGTCTTTCCAACAATTATTTCACAGACCTGCCATATATAGCAGGGTATTCACTGAGATGACAGAGGACATATATGAATATTTAAAAAAACAGTCAAATTTGAATAATAAGAGGGCTGGGGAAGTGGTAGCGTGCTCGCCCTAGCATGCATGAGGCACTGGGTTCGATTCTCAGCACCACATAAAAATAAAATAACGATACTGTGTCCACCTAAAACTAAAAAATAAATATTTAAAAAAAAAATTTGATTTATAACAGCAGCATATATATAAATCTAAAAAACAAAGGCATATACAGGTATAAAGCATAATCTACCGCACCACAAGATGCTTGATATACATCTGGGCATGCATCCTATCAAAGGATGCCAATAATAATCTAAAACCAAGGTATTCACCTTATAAATATATCACGGGGGCTGGGGAGGTGGCTCAAACAGGTAACGTGCTTGCCCAGCATGCGCGGGGCGCTGGGTTCCATCCTCAGCACCACATAAAAATAAAGACGTTGTGTCCACCGAAAACAAACAAACAAATAAATAAATAAATCACGGTGCCTCAGGAATAGCCTTGAAGAGTGTTAACCATTAGACCTGCATGTCGGCAATGCCGAGCACTTCATCACACTAGCTCATTTAGCCCTCATGATGATGCTGCAAGGAAGGCAGAAGGTGTATTAGGGTTTCACAAGTGCTTTCTTTGCACACAACAGTGATGACCCCCATGTTACACATAAGGGGGCTGACACACAAAGAAGTCAGCTGCAGGGGCTAGGGTTGTGGCTCAGTGGTAAAGTGTTTGCCTAGCATGAGTGAGGCACTGGGTTCGATTCTCAGCACCACATAAAAACAAATAAATAATTAAAGGTCCGTCAATAACTAATAAAAATAAATTAAAAACCCCCCACAAAAACCCCAAACAAGAAGTCAGCTGCAAAGTGGCAATAGTTAGAGTCAAATCCAAACAGCCCACTTCAGAGTCTACAGTGTCCACTAACATGCTATGCTCCTTAAATATGAAGTTACAGAGGCCGTTAGACTGAAACTACTCTGGTTTGACTATAAGACAAGCTAGAAAGCTAACATGCTTCTCCCTGGAACTGTGTTCACTTCTCACTGCGCTGTATTGCTTGGGTGGCGGGATGTGTGGGCAGACAGGAAATGCCCACGACACAAAAACTAGAAATATTAATTGCAGTGCAAACAGCCCTCAGCCACTGCGATAAGGAAAAAGCAGCCCCCTGAATGGAGGTGGAACAGGTGATGTTCAACACAGTGATGTACTGTACTGCCAGGCAAAGACAAGGTAAGTTGAGGCCTCTTAGAAAATGTTTTCCAAGTGGGCTTAAAAAGTATAGTTTGCAGAACTGCATGGTATAATTATAGTAGATATGTGAAGTATAACTATAGTTAGTAACAACTATTCACATATGACAAGGACAATCTGAACTATGATTCAAAAACATGAAACTATCTTTATTTTTTGGTGCTGTGACTCAGCTACAGAAGTTGTATTTTTATTATGTACTATCAGTGGAGTAATCATTACCAGCGGACACAAAAAATTTTTTGACCTCATATGTGACCAGTTCCTACAACACTAATTGGTATCATTAAGACTACTCACATCAAATATGAATAATTATTAGGACTATTAAGGAAATCTTGATTTTATTGTATATAAATAACAATGGCATGGTGACTACATTAAAAAGAAATGTCCTTATCAGTCACAGATGCACCTGGAATTATTTAAAGAAAGACATGAGGCTGAGGATTTGCTTCAAAATCCTCTAGCCAAAATAAAAGAGGTATAAGGGAAAGAAGGGAGAACAAAATAAATTATTATAACAAAGTCCCAGAGTCTATAGGTGCCCTGTGGGCACTACTCTTGCAGTAGTGACCACAGGGACTCTCACTCTTACAGTATTAGGCACTGTGCTAAACACCAGGGACATGATGACATTTAATCCTTCAGTTACCCCAATAGGCAACTACCATCCCTCATCTTACAGAGGAGAAAAGGAAATTCAGACAGGCTATAACACTTGCCCAGGATCTTCCCATCAACAGCAGGTCCACGACTCAAGGTTTACTCTAAAGCAACGTGCCTTTACAAATCTCTGTTATTTGTTTATATCTTTATATATAAATTACATTAAAGGGAATGTGTTGTTAGAAAAATTTTTATTCTAGGAAAAACATAAAAGGGAGCACCCTTCTATAGGGTTTAGGAAGATAAGGACAGATTCTTCCTCCTGATCCTATAGTATTTGGTTAAGAACAAGTAGAGGAAATGGAAGAGATCTTTATTTTGATGGTCCAAGTGTCTGCACATCTCTAAGTGCTGTTAAAACTTACAGAGCTTGTCAACTGCACACACACAAGACAGACATTTACTACATGTAAACCATGAAAGAATGAATAAAGACACAACAGGAATGGTGGCCTTTTGGAGCTTAAATGTCTGGCCACAGACCAGGATTTTACCCATCATTTCCAGAAACCAGTTCACAATGAGTGGAAACTGCAGATGCAAGTTTAACATGCCATCTTGGGAGGAGTGAGCCAAAGAAGAGGCTGACTCCATAGTCCACACGAGAAGAGCCTAATGACACATAAGACTCAGCATCCCATGACAAGCAGCTATTGACATTTACTTCTCATAAGTAAGTTTGCAAGATTCTGCTACTCACAGCACCAAAGTAAGGAGCCTGATGTACAACCCCTGTGCCTTCTTCCTCCTTCACATAGTGGTCAACAAGCACAGTGAAAGCGCCATTCTCTTTACACTGCAAAAAAAGAAAGGTTGGCAGGCATCAGGGATGGAGAGAAAAACACTTCTGCATCAACAATGCAAAGAGCCTGAAAAACCCTTTAGCATGTGAAGTTATTTTCAGAAATAGAAAAAATAGGATTATTCAGGTTGGGAAGAAACCTGATGATTAAAGACATCATTTCTCTGGATAGTGGCTCACCATTTATTAATGATGGAATTATTTGAAGACTTACAGATAAAAATTTCTAATTTTTGTGGCCACATAACTGGGCTTCTTCATTATTTTCCCTTGCCTGAGCATGAACTAGCATATGGTCTCACTTCTGGTTTATTTCCATTCATTGCATGTGCTTTGCTTTCCTCTTCCTTTCAACCCAGCTCAAGCAATTCAGTCACAGAAGGAAATTTCAAAGAATATGGATAGGGGAATCAAGAGGCATAAGTTCCCTAGTACAGTATAAACAATACATAGATACATATACAAATCTAACATATTATAGAAGGTGACTCCTTCTATAATATGAGAGCATTATTTAAAAATTCCCACATAAGCTGGGCATGGTGGCACAAACCTGTAATCCCAGGGACTCAGGATATTGAGGCAGGAAGATCAGAAGTTTGAGGCCAGCCTCAGCAACTTAGTGAGGCCCTAAGCAACTTAGTGATACCCTGTCTCAAAATAAAACGGGCTGGGAATGGATGTGGCTCAGTGGTGGTAGAGTGTCCCTGTGTTCAATAGCCAGTACCAAAAAACAAAACACCCTAAAAAACCCCAACCCCTGCCCCCGCTTTTTGTGGTTCTGAGGATTAAATCCAGGGCCTGTGCATGCCAATTGACTACAATTGAGCTATACATCCCAGACATTCCCACACGAATTTAATGATTTAAACCAGAAGGCAACAATTTAATTTTGTTAATGCTAATTCAGATTGTGGGTTCAGGCACACTCACATGGACAATCCAACAATAAGAACTGAATCCACTCATCACTTCACCGCAGTAATCAAAGAAATGGATGTGGGGAGTCCCTGCCATGGTGTTCCCTATATTTACCTTCACAAAATAGTCGAACAGAGGCTTGTACTTCTTGCCTTTGAGAGAGACACCAGGAAATCTGGAAAAAGGAGAAATGCAAATTCATTATTAAGTTAAAGAAATGAGGCTGCAAGTCACACCAAGTCACCACTTTCACTGGTTTCCTGACCGTTAGTCATGAGAACAGAACATGTGCCCTGGACTTACTAGTACTTAGGACTCAACTTGAAAAGTACAGTGGTGGGTAATAAAGTTCGTCTCTTTAAAACGAAAATCAGACACACACACATATATACCTACATATCAACTATCTGAATAATTACCTTTCAAGGACCTCATAGTCACTCTCCATTTTATAGAGGGCTGACAATCTTGCTTCCATTAAAATGAGTAATTTTCCTCTGGCAACATCTATGAGAATGAGAAAAGGTAGACCTCAGTGAGATTCAGACAGACTGGCTCTGGAGACATGCATCAGGCCTATTTCTTTGCTGAAGAGCTCCTGTGCCACCAGCACCAGAGTGCTCAGGACTTGGCAGGGAGCACTGCACAGAACACTGCAGCACCCTGCTTTCCAAACCTGTGTCAGACAGACCCTAAAGGCATGTAGGCAGCTGGCTGTTATTTTACTTCTCACCCATATCCACTTGAAGAAAGTTGGTCTTATTTTCTCCTTCTATAGGTTAATACATGTGAATGTTTAAAAAATCAGAACATTAACAAAAATCAAATGGCTCACAAAGTAAAAGTCCCATACAATCTCACTCCCTCTCAGATATCCTCATTCAGGTGTCTCTCCATCCAGATTTTTTAATGCACATTCTACCTAAGAAATGTATGTGTAAATGTATAAGGTTCTTCTTAAAAAAAAAAAAAAAAAAAAAAAAAATATATATATATATATATATATATATATATATATATATTTTTTAGTTGTCGTTGAACATGATACCTTCATTCTATTTATTTATTTATTTTTATGTGGTGCTGAGGATCAAAACCAGGGCCTTGCACGTGCTAGGCGAGCGCTCTACCGCTAAGCCACAACCTCAGCCCCTCTTTTTACTTTTTCAAATATTATGAGGCAATATTCTAAACGGTTTTAAAACTTGTTTTCACATAGTATTTTGTGAACATTTCTCCATATATTACCATACATACATCTTTCTAATTCTTTTTTTTGCAGTGTTGGGATCAAACACAGGGCCTGTGTGCAGGAAGCCATCCATGAAATACATGAGGACCTTCTCTCAGCATGGAAGCCAGGAAGGGATAGGCATGGCATTGGGAACTTCCTGTGGTTATCCTGCGGTGACAGACTGCCCAATGCATGTTACCCTCTGCTCTGCTAGAAATGTTCCTCAAAGTAGCATCTGAGATGGGTGTAACCCATTAGGAACTCAACAGACCACATTTCAAGAATGAGTAGTACTCTACTGTATGTAAATAACTGTATTTTGTTACTCAATTCATCTGTTGATAAGACACTTGGGATGCCTCCAACTTTTGGCTACTGTGAATATTCCTACTGTGAAAATGGGCACATCAATATTTGTTCAAGTCCTGTTTCTCAATTCTTTGAGGTAAATACAAAAAACAGAAAATTTTGAGCCAAGTATGGTGATGCATGCCTATAATTCCAGTGACCCCTAAGAGACTAAGACAAGTGAATCACAAGTTTTAGGCCAGACTCAGCAGCTTAGTGAGGCCCAAAGCAACTTAGCAAGACTCCATGTTTCAAAAGAAAAAGGGCTAAGGATGTAGGTCAGTGGTAGAGCATCCCTGGGTTCAATCCCTACTATCAGTACCCCAGCAAAGGTTTTCTTTCTTTTTTTTTTTTTTTTTTTCTGTTTTAGGGATAGGACCCAATGGTGTTCTATCACAGAGCTACATCCTAGCCACCTACTCCCTTTTTATACTGAGAAAGAGTCTTTCACTAAGTTGCTGAGGCTAGCATTGAACTTGCAATTCTCCTGCCTCACCCTCCCAAGTAGCTGTGATTATTGGTGTGTATCACTGCATCTGGCTGGCAGTGGGTTTTTCTCTTCTTTGTTTCATTTCCCTTCTGTAAGCTATACAAATATGAAGGTACACTTACTAAGTACATTCTTTTTTCATTTAAGTCTCTATGGAAGGACCTAGTTGAGCCTGTGATAACTCTCTACCAGGGAATATTTGAAAGGCACAAAATTCTCAAGTTCTAGTACTGATTTCTAAAAGTGAATGTGATGTTTTTTTTTTGAATCTTAGAGTCTTAATCTGCCTTAAGGGCATAAAGAATAAAAGCAGCTTACAAACTGAAAAATATGACAAGATTTTACTTTCTACTTTTTAATATTTCAGAATAATTTAATCTTTTAGTGTTACTTTTCAATCAGAAATGAAATGAATGAAAGAATCTTAAAGTCTACCTACCTTCCTGATTAAATAAAATTCTTTGATTGCTTTGGTACTGGGGATTGAACCCTGGGATGCTTTACCACTGAGCTAAGTGCCAGCCCTTTTCCTTTTTTTTCTCCCCCCCTGAATTTTGAGATAGGATCTTACTAAGTTCTTAGGGTCTTGCTAAATTGCTGAAGATGGCTCTGAACTTGCAATCCCAAATTGCTGGGACTACAGCAATGGTGTGTACCACCACGCCTGGGTAAATAAAATTATATTATCTTATTTGTCACAACTAAACAGGCACCCACTTACCTTTAATCTTCACATATTGCATATCTGGATTAACACAGAGGGCAAGATTACTAGGGAGAGTCCAAGGAGTAGTTGTCCAAGCAACTAAGGAGATACTTTCATCTTCCTCCAAAGGGAAAGTTACAAATATTGAGGGATCTTGAACATCCTGAAACAAATTGAGGTAAAGTACTATTTTACAAACCCCTCAATAATAGTCATAAAATAAAAGGAAACAAATCCTAAATAGGACTAAAATAAATGAATTTTCAGAATAAAATGAGCTCTCAAAAACAAAACAAAACAAAACAAAAAAACCCCTGAGTTCAATTCCTGGAACACACCCCACAAAAAAACAAAAACAAAAACAAAACAACAAAAACCTGTTTACTGAGTGGTGTGCTGGTACATGCCTATAATCCCAGTGACTTGACAGGCAGAGGCAGGAGGACTGAAAGTTTGAGGCCAGCCTAGCAATTTGCCCAGGACCTAAGTAACTTAGTGAGATCCTGTCCCAAAACTTAAAAATGGGCTGGGGATTTTGCTCAGAGGTAAACTATCTGTGGGTTAAGTTCCCAGCACTAAACAAAACAAAGCAACCATGCACCACATTTATAAAAAGAAAGTTCAAAGCCAAGAAATTTCACATAAAATTTTTAATACTTAGCTGGGCATGGTGGTATACGCCTATAATCCCAGTGGCTCAGGAGGCTGAGACAGGATGATCATAAATTCAAGACCAGCCTCAGCAATTTAGCAAGACCCTAATCAACTTAGTGAAACTATCTCAAAATAAAAACTAAAAAATAGACAGGCATGGTGGCATACACCTGCAATCCCAGTGGCTTGGGAGACTGAAGCAGAATAGATGGCAAGTTCAAATCCAGCCTCGGCAATAGTAAGGTGCTAAGCAATTCAGTAAGACCCTGTCTCTATGAAAAGGAATAAAAGAATGGAGGCTTCACTGTTAGAATGATCTATTTTATAATAAGCCTATGAAGAGTTAAGTCAACAAAACAACTGTTTTAGAAAATAGTTATCTTGGGGCAGGGGTTGTGGCCCCGAGGTAGAGCACTTGACTAGCACATGTGAGGCACTGGGTTTGATCCTCAACACCACATAAGAATAAGTAAATAAAATAAAGGTATTTTGTCCACTACAATTAAAAAAAAAAAAAATTTAAAAATACATAAGTTGGGTACAGTGGAGCATGCCTGAAAACCCAGCAAGATCTAAATAGAAAATAATCCTGGAACCATTATGAAATAATTAGAAATGTGAACACTAGCTGGGCGCACTGGGGCACACCTGTAATCCCAGCTACTTGGAGGCAGGAGGATTGTGAGTTCAAAGCCAGCCTCAGCAACAGTAAGGCGCTAAGCAACTTAGAGAGCCCTGTCTCTAAATAAAATACAAAATAGGGCTGGGGATGTGGTTCAGTGATTGAGTGTTCCCGAGTTCAATCCCTAGTATCCCCCGCAAAAAGAAATGTGAAAACTAAGTTATACATACACACATAAGTATATATAGGAAATATATGCTATGTGTATCAGCAAATAATACACTTGAAAAGAGAATGCTAAAGATGATTGTTAAATGACTATGTTTAGGTGTGATAATGAATGTAATACGTATATATGGATAGTGCAGGACTAGCCACATTCAATGGTTGTTAGGATGCCAGAAGGGCACATGGGAGTTAATCATTATTTATATCCCATTTCTATTTACTTTTTCATGTGCTTGAAATTCTCCATGTTAATGTGCACTTTTATTTGTTTTTTTTTGCAGTGCTAGCGAGGGAACCTAGAGCCTCACATGTACATGTTAGGAAAGTGCTCTAACAGGTATATTCCCAGGCCCAAGTGTTTTTATTTATGTATTTGCTTGGTATTGGTGATTGAACTCTGGGTCACTCACCTGAATAACATGCCCAGTCCCTTACATTTTTCATTCTGAGACAGAGTCTTGCTAAATTGCTGAGGCTGGGCTTGAACTTGCAATCCTCCTGCCTCAAACTCTGAGTTGCTCGGATTATAGGTGTGTGTGTGTGACAACACCCAGCCCATCTTTAAAAAGCAAAATATATTAAGATCTGGTAAAGCTCAGGCTTAGTATTCAGGTAGTATATTTTTCTCTATACTTTTATGTGCTTGAAATATTTTATTAAACAAACACAACACAACACGAGCACAATCACAAGAAGACAAAAAGGAATCATCACATTCATCTCATAAGGATTTGCAAAGATCAAATGGAATATGTGAAAGCATCCTCTAAGAGGATAAGGCCTTATAAAATTTGAATTTTATTTATATAATTTCCAAACCTGGCTCCTGAAACAAGACTTCCAAACAAGTTAATATCCATTAAAAACAGAGGATTAGATAAACTTGCAAAAATGAAAACACTTCCTATGTTTCAGAAGATTCCCTGCCATTTACCATCTGTCTAGATGAGGTAAAGAAAATCAGAATGTCTCAACACCTCTGTCACACTAATGACAGGTAGAGACTCCATTTCATCAAAGAACAGGTCATAATACAATTCACCATCCCAAATTTTCTTCCCAACATCTAATGATGTACCAGGTCCCAGATACAGCACAAAGTCACCCAAAATGGTAACCATTAATTTTGAGTGGTGGGAAGTATGTCAGAGCTGGAATTATAAATGAAGAGAAGCATAAAAATATGCTCAAAGCAAGCAAAATCTATAAGACACCTCATAAATTCAATGTAAACAAAACCAAAAGCTCATTTTAATCGTAAAAGAGGCTTCATTCAGCGACTGGTAACATCATCAGTACTCAGTAGTGACCAATGCCAAGACTGCCATTCCATGTTGGGGCTACCTGGGAGTACTTAATGATGTTTACAACCATTCCAGGTACATTACTTGGCACTGAAAGATATCTCACCATTTCACATACCTTATAATTCTGGTGGGATTCGAAGTTGGAAAGTGGAGTGTTACATGCAGTGGAGAAGGGCATGACTTTCACCCCTCTGTATACAAGGCCTTTGTCATAGAGTTGTTTAAAGACCCACCTGGCAAGTAAAGAGTTGGGAGTTTCATAATTACATATACAAATATCTATTTCCTCAAACGCAAATATTTATGAACACTTTCAGTTTCTATCTGCCAAAGAAGTGAAAAAATGTCTCATTTGTGGACTAAGTAGTAAATTACATCAGATCTTATAAATAATTACAAGACATTAAATAAACACTAAATATGCTACTCTCTAATGACATTTTTATGTTCATGACATAATGTGAAGACCATTCAGCACAATGAAGGGCCAATGATATAAATCTGTACCTATCAGCATACATACTAACATTTTTAGAAATGTTAAAAAAAAACAAGATAATAATCATAATTGGCATTTCAGAGCTGATCCTTTAGTTTTCTGGTCTACTATTTAAATCTCATAAGAGTTTAACAAATACAATTAAAAAAATATATATAAACTACTGGGATTAGGATCAGCTATTTCTTGTACATTTAAAAAAATTTTTTTAAATTATTTTTTAGTTGTAATTGGACACAATATCTTTATTTTTATGTCGTGCTGAGGATCAAACCCAGGGCCTTGCACATGCTAGCCGAGTGCTCTACTGCTGAGCCACAACCCCAACCCCTTCCTGCACATTTTTAAAATATTTTTTTAAGTTGATGATAGACCTTTATTTTTTAAATTTATTTATTTAGATGTGGTGCTGAAAATCGAACCCAGTGTCTCACACATGTGAGGCAAGTGCACTACCACTGAGCCACAGCCCCAACCCCATATTTCTTGTACATTTAATCAAAACTTTTACTGAGCTTTTAAATGTGCTGTGTTAACCTAAGTACACCAGGCACTAATTGTAATGGTCACCCCAAGAGTTCTTCTCCCAGCTGGATAATAAAGGCACTGTTGGAAATCCATGCTTAATTATGCCTTTTAAAAAAAATTATATTCTAGTGGCTATGAACATGGCACAGTAAATGAATTAAACTCATTTGTTAAAATAACATTTTAATGAAGAAAAGGTTTTTAAAAAAGTGTTATTCCTGAGCTTTTAAAGCTTAAAAAAAGGTAAACTTTTAAAAATTTTTAAAAAGTTTAGATTTGATGAAGTAACTATTAGCTTTGCAAGCTCATGCAAATCACAATTACTTGCCTCTACCTCAAATAGGGGTCCTGAGTCTATCCATGGAACTCTCTGGGTCATATGGGAAAATTCATGGGGAATTACTTTATATAGTCAAAAGCAACAATTGAATCTAAGTTACTACCACTATTAATGTAATTATCAAAGTTATCTCCTATCATTTCTAAATTCACCCTACAAACAAATTCCTTAGGAGTATTTTTAAAATAATTTTTTTAGTATTTATGTTTTAGTTGTAGTTGAACACAATATCTTTATTTTATTTATTTATTTTTTATGTGGTGCTGAGGATAGAACACAGGGCCTCGCACGTGCTAGGCGAGCATTTTACCACTCAGTAGCCCCTCCTTAGGAGTTATTAACATTCTAAAATTTAAAATCTATTTTCCTCTTGTTCCAACCATTTATGTAAATTAAGAAGTAAGAAGAAAAGTAAGAAGAAAAGGAGTGGGTTTTAGAGCTATACTAATTAATATGAGTGCTATCTACATGTTGTTTTTAATTTAAATTAAAAAAATTTAAACATTTCAATTTGGCAAACTTAAAATTTCAGTTTCATGGCACTTCTTTTTGAGATGCTTGACCAACAACTGGTAGTCAGTTGCTCTAGGGAAATCCAGCTGCTCAATGACAGGAAGGTTCCTGTTCAAAGTCTAGCATTCCAGAGAATCTAAATGGCTTCCTTTTCTTGGGTTTGGAAGTCTAGAGATATGTCCACAGGTGCATGTCAGAGTCAAAGGGATTGAAGAACTGTGGTAAAGCGCCTAGCTCCTCAAAGGCAAAGTATGTATGCCAAGCATGTACAACAGACACAGACTAAGAGAAATGTGAGTGGATAAGAAGGCAATAAAAGCTACAAGCAGCTACAAAGCAATTCAAAGAAACTGTGGTCTACAAAACAGCTCTGCAACTCACCTGTACTTTCATGTACAATTTAATGAAAGTAGGACTTCCTCAAGGCTGGATTATGTACCTTGGACATTTATAACCATGCTAAGGGTACCTGTTTGCCTTGTAATGATCTCATATTATCGTAGGAAGCCCAAGGCAAACCACTAATCAAGATTGGCATGGCTAATGATGGTCAAAAAAATTTCACTTGGAACCACTATGGAACAGTAACTTCACTACATAGTTTCTTTTAGCACTAAATTCAGGTACACATTCTCTTAGACTTAAAAAAAATAAAAATTAAAAAAAAAACACTTTTGAAATGTTATTTTTCCTATATTTGGTATAAACTAATTTGAAAAAAAAATGTAAAATATAAATGTGAGGCCATTTACATTCTTTACTTAATGATGCAGAATTACTAATGTATTTATTACAACTTGCTATTCAACCCACTTGGGCTATTATATGTAAAAGAATACATGCAAATACTGGTAAATTTTTCAAATACAAATGATCTGAATTCAAAAACATTATTTATTCCCAAATATACAGAATTATGGATCTGAAGACAAACTAATTCACACTAGCATACCTTCCCACTGACTAAGAGAATATTCATTGTATTTACAATTTTAAATAAACCTACCAGACAGATTCCATGAACTGTGGATACAGAGTTTTGTAGTCATTGTCAAAGTCAATCCATCGGCCAAGTCTGGTAACAGTAGACTAAAACGTATGGATATTAGAGCAGTATTAGACAATGATATTTGATATTGTACACCAATGTGTTGTTTACTTTTATTGTATCCATATATGATAATTTTTGGAAATCCAAACAATAAATGGTTCAAATAAATCTATATTTCAAACAACATACTATGTGAAGTTAAGAATTATACTATATACAGATGCTAAAATATCCATTTATAAAAGTCGACCGAAACTGCCATTTGGCAATAACCAGAAATATAACTGTTGCTAGTAAATAATCAATACGTGCTCAAATTAATAAGTGAAAGTATCCCAAGAAAAAGAATATTTGGCTGGACGCCGTGGTCCATGCCTATAATCCAAATGGTTCTGGACAGTGAGTTCAAAGCCAGCCTCAGCAACTTAGTGAGGCCCTAAGTAACTCAGCAAGATCCTATCTCTAAATAAAATACAAAAAAACAGCTGGGGATAGTTAAGCGCCCCTGAGTTCGATGCTGGGGGCGCGCGCGCGCGCACACACACACACACACACAACAAAAAAAGAATATTTGAAAAGATCCTCCCAGCAAAAGAAAAACTGAAACTTTACAAAGGAGACAACCAACAGATGACACCTTAAATGAACAAAGTTATCATTAATGAGACATAGCAACAACACAGGCTTCCTGCCATGACATGCTGAGGAGGACATGACATCACCTCTGAAGCATTCCTGTCCAAAACCTGTAACCTAAATTAAATTTGTGAGGATAAAAGTAATATGGACTGGGTGTGGTGGTGCACACCTGTAATCCCAACTTATTAGGAGACAGAGGCAGGAGGACTGAAAGTTTGGAATCAGCCTCAGCAACTTAGTGAGACTGTGTCATAAAATACAAAATAAGTAAGTGCTGGGGACGTAGCACAGTGGTAAACCATCTCTGGGTTCAATCCCTACTAATACCTCCCACACCCCAGAAGCACCAATGTCACGAAAGACAAAGATTGAATGACTGTTTGACATTGAAAGAGCCTGAGCTGGTAGTGGTGGTGTATGCCTGTAATCTCAGCAGCTTAGGAGGGTGAGACAGGAGGATAGCAAGTTCAAAGCCAGCCCCAGCAAAATGGAGGCACTAAGCAACTCAGTGAGACCCGATCTCTAAATAAAATTCAAAATAGGGCTGGGGATGTGGTCCAATGGTGGAATGCCCCCGAGTTTAACCCCCTGTAACCACCCCCAAACAAAAGTGGGACTGACAAGACACAACAACCAAATGTAATTTGTGATTCTGGATTGGATATTAGTTCAGAAGTAAAAATTGGTAGGACAACTGGTGAAATTCAAACAAGATCCATAGTATTTTGAGCTGGGGTTATGGCTCAGTGGTAGAGCACTTGCCTGGCATGTGTGAGGCACTGGGTTTGATTCTCAGCACCACATATAAATAAATGAATAAAATGAAGTCCAATCAACAACTAAAATGTATACATATATACATAAATTTAAAATATATATAAATTATAAATATAAATTATCTCATTAATGTTGACAACTTTGTTCATTTAAAATGTTATCTGTTGGTTGATAGTATTTTATCAACGTTAGTTTACTGCTTTTGAAATTACATTATAATTATAGAAGACAGGAGCAATTGGGAAAGTGGATGAAGGGTTTAGAGGAATGCTTCAAACATTTTTTAGCATGTCTGAAATGACATCAGGGGCTGAGAAGGAAGGTAGAGGGCATGTTTAGAATGTGAGAGGTGAGAGGACCTGGGTGGATCCCCAGCACCACAAAAAACAAAAAACAACTTTCAGAATGAAAAGTCTAAAAATTAAGAAATGCCTATATCTATATTAGGATTTGGCACTTGATGTGATCATGGCTGGAAGAGTCATACCACTAGCCAAACAGGAAATTCTGAAGAATAGCAAGTTTGAGAGGTTGAAGCGAAGATGGAGAATAAGGAAAAAACAAAGCCAGACATGCTTTTAAGTTATATAAACATACTAAGCCAATCTGAGAGGCAGGGAGGAAGGGGGAATCTATGTTCTGATGTTCAGAAGAAGAGGAGGGCAGGAGCTCTGCAGCTTGGAGATTGATTACTAAAAAGAAGAGTGCAACATGGGAGTCAAATTAACATAACAAGCATGAGCCCAAACTTGATTTTTTTTTTTTTTTGATCCAGAAACTGAACCCAGGGGTGCTAAACCACATTCCCAATCCTTCTTTGTATTTTATTTAGAATCTGAGTTGCTTAGCGCCTCACTAAGTTATTGAGGCTGGCTTTGAACTCATAATCCTCCTGCCTTAGCCATCCAAGCTGCTGGGATTGTAGGCATGTGCCATTGTGCCAGGCCCAAACTTGAATTTTTAAAAATACATGAATTATTACAATGAAGCATTCAAGTAAGCCTGTTACAGCATGATTCTAGTCATATACTGTGGGGTAGGCAGGAGACTAGATCAACCCTTTTTTGTGTCACATCTTCATATGTACCACCATACTTTTGAGAACATCTCATAAAAAGAACAAAGACAATAGGCCATTTCAACTTTCATTTAAAACTAAACTTTCTGTTCATTCTACTGAAAATAACCTAACATACCTTCCACTCAGCAGAATATCTCATCACAATTGTGCGGCACTGATTGTTATACTCTGCAATCCCCATTTTGGCCACATCCTCTGGCCCTCTGATTCCCAGTGTCTTATCAATTTCATATTCCTGAAAATTTGTGGGAAGACTGTTAATGTCCTTGACTTAAGAAACAAATACAAGTAAGCAACTCAAGAAAATAAAACAGCTTGAAAAATAACCAATAGTTCTCAATCTACAGAGAAAATGAACTATAAATAATTTTATGGAAATGAAGAACAAAAAGTCAGACATATAGTTAAAATTTACTATATTTCAATGACATGATGAAATGTAATGCTTAAAAAAATCAGATTTATAAGGCTGGAGACTCAAACATACCACAGGTAAGCCATGACAATCCCATCCAAATCTTCTGTCAACGTGAAACCCGCTCTGGTGAGCATATCTTGTAACTATATCTTTAATTGTCCCTGCAAGTATGTGTCCATAATGAGGCAGTCCAGTTGCAAAAGGAGGCCCATCATAGAAGGTAAATCTAACAGAGGTAATAAAAACACATTAGTCATTTTAGAACTGACAGCAAGAATTTAAGACATTTTTTTTTTTTTAATACCCAACTCCTACTGGAGTGTTTAGGAACAAAAAAAGTAGCAAGATCAGGAATTTCAGACATAATTGATTAGATATTTACTAGAGGCCTAGGCTTCAGAAAGGCTACTGGTTATGAGAGTTGGGGAGACTGCCATTTGATTATCCGTTCTTTATTTATTGGTCTAATAACTTAAGACAAGTTAATAGCTCTGATCCTGAGTTAGCTCATCAGTAAATCAGGGCAACAGACACTGATCTCAAAGCTTTTGAGCACAGAAGGCACACAATGGAATCAGTGAATAAAGGACTGGTCTTTTAGGTAAATGAAGACCAGAGGCAGGAAGTACTGTAAAAGTCTTCTACATAGGACTTAGGTATAAGTGCTAAGAGAGGGTGGGGATGATGAAAAAAGTGGAATGGTAGCGAGTGGTATATTCATTCTATTTAGATGGTTTCTTAAAGAAATTTAATCTACCTTAACCAAGAACTCATCCATTTAACAATTACCTACTACTGAGTATGCAGCATGTAAAAATCGAGCACAATGTGGAGATACAAAGATGAATAAAGGGTTTCTGCTTTAGTGGAACTCATTCTCAAGGACTTCACCTTTACCAAAGAAATTCACATACTTTGGCCTATGTTTTGACTGCTTTAAGCATTCTTGAAAACAATTGAATTTGGACCAGAATTGCAAAATTTTGTCTTCTTCAGCAGGAAAATTGATGTTTTCTGGAACTTGTTGAACCATTCTGTTGCTGCAAAAGAAATCAAATTTATTACTGTCAAAAGAGAAATCTAGGAATAGCAGGGTAATATATTATTAAATGAGTGAACATATCACTACATAACTATGTGATAAAATTATAGCTTTATTGAGGTACCTTCACATAACAAAGTCCAATCTTTTAAAATGGACAATACAGTAGGTTTCAGTATATTCAAAAGGTTATGTATCATTATCACTATTTCATTTCAACACTTCTCAACCCCTATAATAAATTAGCAGTCACATTCACTTCTTTGGTCCCTGAAAAGCTTTAATCAGCTTTCTTAAGTTGCCTATTTTGACATTTTATAAATAGAAGCATTTCTATGAGTCATCTATATGTGTCTGAGTTTCATTTCATTAGCACATTTTCAAGATTCATTTGTGCTGTAACATGTATTCACACTGCATTACTTTTTATGGCTGAGTATGTTCTCTACATTAATACATGATACTATGTTTTTCCATTCATTGGTGCACAGACTCTTGGATTGTTTCCACTTTGGGCTATTGTGAATAAGGTTGATATGAATGTTCAGGTACAAGTTTGCATGTGGATATACATTTTTATTTTTCTTTAGGAGTAGAATTTCTGGGTCATATGTTAACTCCGTATTTTAGCTTTATGACAAACTACCAAAATACTTAACAAAGTGACTGCAATGGGCTGGGGTGTAGCTCAATGGTAGAGTGCTAGTCTAGATGCAAGAACCCTGGGTTCAATACACTATACCAACATCAAAACAACACACACAAAAGTAAAGTGACTGCACCACTTTACATTCCCCCGCAGAGAATGAGGATGCCAATTTCTCCAAATCTTCCCCAACACTCCTTATTGTCTACCTTTGGATTACAGCTATCTGAGAGGGTATGAAGTGGTATCTGATTGTGGTTTTGAATCACATTTCCGTAATGACTAATGATGTTGAGTATCATTCCAGGTATTTATTGGTCTTTTGTGTCCTCTGTGGGTAAGCATCATCAAGCCCCTTCCCTCTCAAAGGCTATTTACTTAAAATTCTTTTTTCAAATATTTATTTTTTAGTTGTAGTTGGACACAATACCTTTATTTTATTTATTTATTTTTATGAGTTACTGAGGATAGAACCCAGCACCTTGCATGTGCTAGGCAAGTGCTCTACTGCTGAGCCACAACCCCAACCCCTTTACTTAAAATTCTAATAAAGTTAGTAACCAGATTTCTAAGCCAAGGTCAGATTGCTAATAATGAGAGAACAATAGAGAAGATGAAAAGCCTTAAGTACTCAAGAATCACATCAGTTAGAAGTAATTGACTCTAGAAGAAAAGACCTATATATTCCTCAACCAATTCTGAAAGCACTGAAAGCTCTGTGGTCTAAGTATTTAGCAATCAACTCAGGCCAACAAAAAAGTATTTGGCAAATAGTCTTGTAACTATTACTTTTTTGTTCTCGTTCATTTTCACATGCAAGAGTGTCTGTGTTCTATATAGGAAAAAAAATTTTTAAGGATGCCTCTGCTGACCCAAAAGATTTAGAATCATAGTATTATTATGCCAAACACCAAGACCCAGAGTAAGAGAGTAAGAGAACTGAACCATGTACCAATGACCGGGCTATGGAAGCTGTTGAGGACAAACAGCTCCCATGCATAAATCACAGGATTGCTCTGGCCCACTGTATCCACTAGAGAACTGTACCAGCACAACAGCCTCCAGCAACCACAGGGCGGTGGGTGTGGGGTGAAGAGCAGGTTAACCTTGCCAGGTTGCAACCAGGGATGCCATCTCCTCTTCTTCCTCTTCCTGTAATTAGGCCCTTTATTCTTCCCTATTCCACAATTCCCTGCTTCAGATACCTTAGCTTCAACCTTTTGTTCAGCAAATTCTAAACATTTTGTATAAAATCTCAGATTTTACTTGCCCAAACTGATTTCTTTTAAAACTGTCTTTGTGGTTTCACTATTCTTTACCTTTCATAAGGATGGCATTTCTGAATTACCTGTAATAGTACCAAAAGGACTACCACATCCAACTAATCACCAAGACATGTGGATTCTACCTGGAAGTCTATTTCTGAGGCTCACTCTTTTTCATTCCTAGGACTTCCTACTCTGTTACATTAAGTCAAATATAACCCACAGTGGGTTATCTCAAGTTTTTTCCTCAAATTAGTTATATCCTACTAACATACATCCCACAGACTACTTGTGAAAAAAATATGTATACAAAGATACTTACATGTGAATGTTGATGACAACAAGATGAGATCCTTCTTGTCAGACCTAGGAAGTTAGGAAGACGGAAGGTTAATGCTTGTCTAAGAAATTTGTCAAGGACTTTCTAAAGGCTCCAAAAGAGGGGTTGGAGCCCTGGCTTCAATGCCTAGCACTCAGCTAAATAAAGGCTAAGAAAATATTTCTTCTCATTCTACATGTATCCCATTTTTGTAAGCCTGGCACATATCTTTAATGCCCTTTAAGACTGCAATAATTCAGACAAGATGCTCTTGAGAGAACATCTGCTCAGGACGGGGTATCTCCACCAATGGGCTAATGCAAATTTCTGCCTAAGGTCTCCAAGACCAGTGAACTCTGTATCCAAGTAACTTTCTCCTTTTTTGATTTTAAAATATTTCTCTTGCTAGGACTTCCTGGAATATGCCCATAGTTTACTATGGCATGCATATTCCCATTGTGATGCTCTGCTACTCCCAAATAAATACCACTGTTCTTTGAACACTCTCCCTCTTGTTGATATTTAGGTTGAAACATGGAAGCATTATTTCTATATGCAAACAATTGAAAACAATTTAAATATTTAAGATGAATAAAGTACACTATGGGATATCAATAAAAAGAATACCACCAGCCATTAAAAATAATGAACTGGCATATATAAAATTCAGTTGTGGGGTGGGGGTGGCTGGGGGCACAGCTCAATGGTAGAGCACTTGCTTAGCATATGCAAGGCCCTTGAAGGAATTCCTACCATAAGAAGAACAAAATAAAACAAAATAGTTGTCTCTTAGTATCCCTGGGAATCTGGTTCCAGAACCCTCTGGGATGCCAAAATCCAGATACTCAAATCCTGTTTATAAAATGGCATAGTATTTTCATATAACTTATATACATTCTCCCATACAATTTAAATCATCTCTAGGTTACTTAAAATACCTAATATGATTTAAATGCTACATAATTAGTTGTTATACAGTATTGTTTAATGAATAATGACCACCAAAAACAGCCTGTATTTGCTCAATGCAGATGCAACTATCACAGGCCTATCTACATATCACGTGAACGGAGGTTGGTTGAATGCAGATACAGAATCCATGGATATGGAAGGCCAACTGTATATATATTATTTATACATATTGAGAAAGAAAAGACCAAGTGTCAGTCAGATATACAAACTTATACTATGTTATATATGATTTTCAAAATACACTTACTCATTTCACTACTTCATTAAAAATAGCAACCACGCATTCATAAGGCTGGAAACTAAGTGCCACCTCCCACCTATTCCTCACACACACATTCTAAGCTGCAGTGACAACAGTGCCTCCCCATCTTCTGAATGAATATGATTGGTACTTTCAAATCCTACACTACTCTAGGTATGATCCTCTGCCCATTTTCAAGGCCCATGCCCTATAGCAGCCCTTGAGAAGCGACCTCCTTCTCTCAATTCCAAATCGCAGTGAAAAGATATCTATCTTCTCTGTGCTCCCAATAAGGCGTCCACTTGGCTACTGCATTATTACTGAGGGCAGGGACATCGCGCATGCCCGCGTTGGGACCCAGGTCCCCAATGCTAAATGCACACCAACGGAAAACAGGGACAAGAAGCTGCACTCTGGGACTCGAAATAACGCCTTGATTTGTCCTTATAATTATCTAGACTGGCAATAAACTCACTCGCCTTAACTCCCGCATGCCCCGTCACCCTGAATTCTCAAACCACAGTGTTCAAGGACCACTGTGGCCAAAGGGGGCAGCTGCAGAACTTCCGCGGATGCTAAATCAGGGTCCAAGAAGTCGGACCCGGATTTGTGCCGGGCTCTAAGTCCCGCGGTGCTCCTTTAGAACGAATCCCATCTTCCTCCTTGGAAACAGATACACAGGCAACCAACTCGCAGCAGATCCTGAAGAAAACGCCCCTTAGGAGAATTTTATATACGTGTGTGTGTGTGTAGCCAGAGACACACACACAGTCCTAGTCTCAGGGGTTTACCGTACACGTGACTCTCCTTCTGAGGGCAGGATGCCGCGTCCCCGAGGGGCGCCACGAGCAGCAGCGGACGGACGTGAGGGACCCTGCATACCAGAAGGGCCTGGCTTACCTGGGGAGCCCCGGGGGGCCGCAAGCCTAGGAGGCAGCCGACACCCACGCGGCGGCGGCCCGAGGTGATGCAACACCCAGATAGCACGCGGGGCAAGGAAGAGGCTGCCCCGGGGCCAGCCAATCAGAACGCGCTAACACCCTCCAACAACCCGAGAGGTGATTGGCCGCAAGGGGCACGATTCCGGCCACGCCCACGGGCCGAAATTTGTACCGCAGTGCGCTCAGTGAACGCAGCTCTGCGAGGGGAGGAGCCCGGCGCTCAGAGGCGGAGGCCTGGGCGGGGCTGGCCGGAAGCCTTACGTGCTAGGCTCAGGTTGCACCCCACCGTCCCAAGCTGGGGCAGGGACCATGGGCCTCTGTCTTGCGTGTCAGCGTTCATCTAACCAGACATTTAAGGTCTGCATCTCACTTCATGTAAATTACTGTTAAAATTTACATCCTAAAAACACTGAGACTTCGGAGCGGTGGCTTGCTAACTACTGTAATCCAGAGGCCGCTTTCCCTGTGGTAAATGGCAAGGGAACGGATGAAAAGGCTTCATGACCATCTTTATATGATTTACTGCACTTTAAAAAAAAAATGTTTCCTGTAATAAAAAGAATCATTGGCTTATTTATCATTGCTCTGCGCCTGCCTAGCACCTCCTAGTTCTACTGGTAATGGGGATATAGCTTAGTGGTATAGGTGCTTGTCTAGCATGCAAGGAGGCCGGGATTTCCATCCCCAGTACACAAAAAACAACAAAAACAAAAGGGATTCTGGAGGTTGGCACCACAGCCTATGAAGGAACTTTTGGTCTTGACAAATTGAGAGTAGTTGTGTAGCTAATTGCTTATTTTACCTACTTCATTAATAGGTAGAAAGCACTGAGAACATTTTGATAAGTCTGTTGAGCATTTACTCAACAGTTACCATGGTCTAGGTCCTATTAGCCATCACAGATTAGAGTAAAAGGCTTAATTTCCTCCCAAAGGAGTTACTTGAATCACTTGAATGTATTTAATAGTTGCATATCTTTGCTAAATGGAAGTGTTTAGAATATGTTCAAAGTTTTTGCATTTCTTAATTACCATCTGTTCAGTTGATTTCTGCCACTAGTCCAGAAAACAGATTGGAGCAGGACAGAGGGCTCCTGGACAGGTGTGCCTGGGGGAAAAACCTACAGGTCAGGTATATTCCCAGTCTGATTGTTTAAAAAGTGGACTGAGACACATTTCTAAAGTAGTGTTGGAAGGTATGGGAAGACTTCTCTAGGAAAAAGTTAATCAAAACAAAAATTAAGAAATTAGAGTCTGCGGAAGCCTACGGACAAGCACTGAACAGTAGATCCCCTCTCCCCAGCTGAACCATTTCTATGACACCATGTGAAGCAGAGACACTAAATCACATTTGTGAACAAAGTAAATTACTGTTATTGGAATGGCTTGCTATGAAGCAACAGATAAGAAAGTATGTGATTACTTTAAAAGAAGGTGAAATATTAGATTTATCCTGTTGAGTGGTTGTTCCCATTTTCCTTAATGTCTGAAGTCTTTAGGGAGGCCGAGGCAGGAGGATTGCCAAGTTTGAGGCCAGGCTTAGCAACCTAGAGCCTGACTCAAAATTTAAAAGATGGGCTGGGGACACAGCTCAGTGGTAAAGAACCTTTGGGTTAAATCCCTAGTAACACACACACATACACACACACACACACACACAAACCTGAAATCTTAGATCCATATGAATCCAGAATGATTCTTTAAGCTACTTAATATATGTATCATATTTATTTAAAAAACATACATACTGAGCATCTACTATGTGCCAGACATACTATGTGCCAGACACAGATCTATGTAGTGGGAATATAATGGTTAACAAACCTGATGAAATTCCAACCCTTACAGTTTGTATTTAAGCAAGATATAAATCCAAAAATTATGACATATATATACACACACACACACACATGTACACATGCATATACATGTACACACACACATATATACACCTCATGGTTTGATAATAATCCCTTGGAAGTGTCTATGGAACACAATTTTGTACAGACCCATTTTGATAGAGGGTATCTCTCTCTTGAATCCTAGCCAGGTTTGGGTACTTAGTGAGATATTAAACCTGCTTCTGGACTTGGGAATCTGACTCCAGCTCTTGACTAAAATCTTTCAAGATACCTGGTATTTTTCATAAGCTTCTGGTCTAACTAGAATTCTGGGATAGATGGATTTGTCTCTATAAATTGCTCCATAATTTCTCAAAGTCAGAGACAGGAAAACTGTTATCTGTCTTCCTTTCCTGGTCTTCACTGAACTCTCATTTCAGTTAGCTCATTATCAGGAAATGAGTATAGGACTCAAAGTTGATATGCCAAATAAAAAGTACAAAATGGAGGTGGATGTATGTGGTACAATCAGAAACAAATATTTCAAATAGTCTATAACTAACATAAAGATTAACTTGGGAAACACAAGTACAATAAATCATTTATTTAAAAAGGCTTCATGCAAACTTTGCATGAAAAAATGCATACTACTTACTGAGGACGGAGGGCAAGGAGGTTATATACAAGTAGGACTTTAATGAACTTCACTTCTTGAAAGTTCCCTTTAATTTCTTTTTCTTTTTTTGAAATAGGATCTCACTGTGTTGCCAAGGCTGGTCTCAAATTGCTAGGCTCAAATGACCTTCCCACCTCAGCCTCCCAAGTGCTGGGACTTCAGTTGTACATCATCGTGTCCAGCTCAGTTTAATTTTTTGAAGTAATCACCTAAGAAGAAATATGGAGGAATTCCACAGAAAAAGGTGGCAACCAGAATAATAATCAACAAGCCAGATTTTGAATTTTCTTCCACTTTGAAATTTCTTCTTTGATGTCTAAAACTATTTTCTGGGTCAATTTCCTTCAGTATTGTTCACGTTCAGTAACAAAACCAATGCCAACATTTACTATTTTGATTTCATTTTCCTTTTGGCTTCTTTATGTTTCTTTCGACAATCCTAGAAAAACAATAAAACCAGAAGCCTTAGTTAACAATAAAAACAAATCGTTCTCATGGTGTTCAATAATTATACAGTAAACTTTAGCTTACTGTGGAAACCTATTTTGGAAGTGCTCACTGAAATAAATAAGGACTATTTAAACTCTTAGCTGTAGAAGATCAGGGAACTATAATTCAGACTTTAAAAACCTGATTTCCTAGCAGGGTGTGGTGGCAGCCCACCAGTAATCCCAGCTGCTCGGAGGCGGAGACAGGATGACTGTGAGTTCAAAGCCAGCCTCAGCAATGGCAAGTTGTTAAGCAACTCAGTGAGACCTTGTCTCTAAATAAAATACAAAAACAGGGCTGGGGATGTGGCTCAGTGGTCAAGTGCCCCAAAGTTCAATCCTTGGTACCAAAAACAATAGAAAACAAAAAAATTTTGATTTCCTGTTACTTAATGAAAATGAACCTGGATGAATTCTGGGACCCAACACTTAAATAGCCAGTCTTTCTGCCTGTACCAGCTGTGGGATGCATGAACCTCTAAATTCCCTCCAATGAGATAATTCTGAGAGTTTAAATCCTTTTCTCAGTTGTTTGTTTCTAAATTTTCATATCATATTCCTAATATTCTCACACTAAGGGAATCTTAACACAAAGAACAGTTATCTATGTTCAGAGACAATGATATGGAGAAACAATTACTCACCATACGTAAGCTATTTGTTCGGGCCTCCCAAGAATTCGTGCTAACATTACTTCCCACGCCACACCAAAACATGTCAGAACCTATTAATGGAAAAACAAGAAACACAGGGCAGTAAATTACTACTGAAATGGACAACATTCTGAAGCTGGCATTACTAAGGTATCCAATTCTAGTTAAGATCTTTTTAAAAAATTTCTATAAAATTTTCAAAAATACATTTTTCTTTCAAAATTAAACATGTAGCATTGCTAGAATAGTGCTGTTGGGAGTCGCCCTGGCTCCAAAGACTAACCTCTCCATACCCCAAGAAAAGCCATCCAATGGTGAGCCCTGCTGGCTCACATGATCCTTACCCACCAATCAGACTAGCACTGCTGGCTCACCTGATTCTTACCCACCAATCAGACTAGCCCTGCTGGCTCACCTGATCCTTACCCACCAATCAGACTAGCCCTGCTGGCTCACCTGATCCTTACCCATCAATCAGACTAGTCCTGCTGGCTCAGGCCCAGCAAGGTGCTTCCTTGGGTCGCCGCCCACCACAGAAAACACCCCCTGGGCGCCTGCTTCAAGTGTGGCAAGGAGGGACATTGGGCCAGGGCATGCCCTGCACCACGCACTCCGCATACTCCATGCCCTAAATGTCAACAACAAGGTCATTGGAGCTCTGACTGTCCTAGACCCCATAGGAGGCCTATGGCCAGGGAACCCTCCGCCCTTCTGAGCACAGCAATCAATTGATGGAGCCTTAGGTCCTTGTCCCCGGCCGTAATGATCAATAGACAGGAACCCAGGGTGCGGATTCAGGTGGATGGACGCAAGGTTGACTTTCTTCTTGACACCAGGCTACCTTCTCAGTCCTGACAGAATTCTGGGGCAAACAGTGCTGTCCACCTCTCCTATTGTCGGGGTAGGAGGAAAGACCATCTATCCAAGAAAGACTCCCCTATTACTCTGTTCCATAGACAACTTCCCATTCTCTCAGACGTTCCTAGTTATGCCCCAATGTCCAGTTCCTTTGCTCAGCCGAGATATTCTCTCTAAATTCAATACAACAATCAACATCCGGGCTCCTGGCATCAGGCAGGCCCCAGAATCGGCCTGTTCATCTTTTCTGGCCCTTTTGGCAGAAGACTGGCCATTCTGCTCCACTTGTGAGGCTGACATGAAATACCATACTAACCTGGTGACCCGACTGTATGGGATACCCATACCCCCTCCACCATTTCCTGCCTACCAGTTAACATTCATCTCAAAGATCCTAACATCTTCCCCAATCAGGCTCAATACCCCCTGTCCATAAAAGCTCTTCTGGGCCTACAACCCATTATTCAGGACTTTCTTAGCAAGGGGTACCTCCGACCTGCTCATTCCCCTTACAATACTCCCAAACTAGCGGTAGAAAAGCCCAATGGGTCCTACTT